ACTTTTTTTTTATATATTAAGTTTTATTTACTAATTTAAGCTCTTAGCTATTAGCCTTAACTATAAATAATATATTTAGTTTATAACTTAAATATTATATTAAATAACTAACTAATTACTATAACTAAAGGCTAATAAAAGAAAAACTTAAATTATAACTCTTTAGCTAGCCTTAAAGGTATATAAAATACTTTAATTTATTAGCTAAAAAAGGTTAGCTTAATAATATAAATACCCTAGATCTTTAAAATAGTAACATAACTTTACTACTCCTATATAAAAGGATAACATTATTATTAGTTAATTCTAGACTTTATAATTATTATATTTATAATATCACTTAAAGCAAGGCATTGCTACAGCCACTGAACAAAGATTATATTCACGTGCCTTATTATCCTGTCCTCCCAGAGCCCTTGGCTCAATATGTATAAATAAAAGCTGCAATCCCACCCCTTGTCCTTCATCTCCTCATGCCAAAATGCTCGACTGAATGACTTGGGTATAACCGCTCTTACAAAAACTTAGTTGTTCAACATTGCTTTGCTCCAAAAGGTTAAGACCAGACATCGGATTTCCAATCTTCCGACGTGTAATTGCAGAGACATTACCGTGTATGTCTACTGATTTGTATACTGCCACGATCTGTCAAGAGCCCCGGGTGGGCTTCCATCTAGTTGGTGCGGCCGAAAACCTCATCCTGGACCTTGCAAGCCCACTCATAAGCTTGAACTGGCTCAAACAAAGCCCAAGCGTACTCGATGGCGCGCAAACGTTGGATTTCGTTGCTTCCATCTCGGAACACCCAGGCCTTGGCAATCTGCGAGGCGTATTCATATTCCTGGCCCAAGATGGCATGAATCTGAGGAATCCACAGATCCAAGTCTTCTCTGGTTATCTGCGCCTCGAGAGCGGCCTTCTCCTCATCCTCCGAGATCTTGTCCCATAACCTTACGAGAAGGGAGACGACATCATCAAGGGACATGAAGGAGACTCCCATAATCTCCTGCTGTTGGCGGTAACGCAAGAAGTCCGTCAGCCGATGGGGGTGTCCCTTGTAGACACCAGCAACCCATTCGCCAACCTTCATCCATGTGTTTCGCACGCGCAACCATTGATTCTTGTCCTGGCTGTCGAATTTCCGCGTTGGCTTCGGACCGACAATCAGGCTGATTGGGCCATGATTGCCCACCGACCAAGTGATCATGACATCTGTGTCAATGAGGCCCTCGTCTTCGATCATGTCGAAAAGAGACCCATCGTTTCCAAGGACCAGGTCGTGGAAGTCCATCCACTTCGGCAGGGCAATTTCGAAAGGACCGCAGATTGGTCCAACCCGGTACTTCCTGAGGTGGAGGTCATCCCAGATATCTTCCAGGTACTCAGGGTTAGGCGCCATAGGGCCTGTCCAATTGACTTCGTTGACGCCAAAGTCATGCCTGACCGGAATAGGCTCATTCATAGGGTTGATGGCCTTACGATCATCAAACTCTTCGAAATGCTGCCAGTCATCTTCCGGGCAACCATCAGCCACAGCCTTGGCCTTGGCCTCGGCGATCTTCTGGCTCCTGATATCAAACCTTTTATTGGCTATATCGTTCAGCTCCTCTTCCAATACGGCGTGGGCATCCTGCTGCTTCTGATAGAGGCGCTTGGCCTTCGCATTAGCCTCCTCAGCATCAGCGGCAACGTGCTCCTTCTCCTTCTCCTTCTTAGCCGATTTTCCAGCGGCGACATCCAAGAAAATTTCCGCAATTGAAGAAGTGACCTTGGAGACGTCAGCTGAATAGTCAGCGGTGGGTTTGGGCTCAGCCGGGGGGTTGAGCTCAGCGGGGGGTTTGGGCTCAGCGGGGGGGTTGCGGGCCCAGATTGATGAGCCTATCCCATAGGCCTGTTGCCCACCGAGTGGGCGTTCAGCTTGCTGTCCGAGGACGGGTTTCGGAGCTGCCGAAGCAACAGAGGACTGGCGGGCAGTCTCTGCAGCCGCAGCACGCCACCTAGCCTGTGAGGCAAAAGGAATCGACGGGTCACACCTGACCACGGTATCCTTGGCTACGGCAGGAGACTTCTGAGAAGTCTCTGCTGCCACAGCAGGTTGAGTTTGGGGTCCAGGCGTAACCCTGTCCTTGGCAGAAGCTTCGGACTTGGGCGCCTTCGAGGACTCTCCCTGTGACTCTGGACGAGACCATTTTCTAAGTCGCCAATCTTGGTAGTACCAAGAGGCACCCTCAGAAAGGTCCGCCAGGGAGGGCATTTCGCTCCTTGATGAGGGCCAAGGATGATCCTCAAAAGGGATATTGGCATGACCCACTAGATTAAGGTTAGTGAATTGAAATGATAGATGCTGTGATTGTTTTACTTACGGATATTGTACCAGACCTTTTTATCCACGTAGTACTCGAAATAGGCCTGCCCAACTCGCTTAACAGACTTAGCTGCCAGTCTGGTACAGACATCCTCCATGCACAGCTCACGGATCTCCTTGACCCGGTCTGCGTTCCACAGACCAAGGCCCTGGAAATATCCCTCCATGAAGGCACGGCGAGGGCCGCCTTTATTGAAGTCAAGCGCCAAGTGATCAAAAACGGGGAGTTCTTGATGAGTAGCCATTGTGAATGGTCGTTGAAAAATGTGTTTGTTGTGTTGCGTTGTGTTGCGTTGTGTTGTGTTGCGTTGTGTTGTTGTGAGAAGTAAAGTTTTTTCCAGTGCGCATAATTTCTTGGCTTTGATGCGGGGCTAGATACCTAGGTACTTACGCTCGCCCACTGGTCAGGTACTGATACAGTTACTGGGAGCCCAGCCGCTGTTTTCTCGGTCATCCCTCAACTCAAACCTGGTCACAACTCAGACTACCTGCGGCTCAAGGGGGAGACACGTTGTTCGATCTGATGTGGCATTTGAGGTATTAGATGTTGTCAAAGGCAAACAATATGTGTTTCAGAACTTGACCCAATGCTGTATATACAGCAGAGTATGCTTGTATGCTTTGGCCAGTAACATTCACATTAATCACAATGAAGATACCTGACGTGCAGCAAAACGTTTATTGAGCACCCCCCTTTAATTATTACGCGTTCCAAGGCTTCATGAATTCTCCCTCAACTTATTATATCGTGCTGTCCCATGGCTTCCTCCGCTACCTCGGTCTGATCCCACTCGTAATTTGCCATACACAATCGACATTCATAGCGTAGGATATGTCTCGGTAAAGTTTATATGATGGGAAGTCGAAAGACACGTATACGGTGCGCTTTGTGATAATTCTTCGGAGCCATTGGAGCCTGGCATTGTATGGTGTATTTTTGGGGCCGCGTCCGGTACTTGGAGACGTATCTGGACCACCGTGGAGAATCGGCAAATCGGTCGCGACTGTTGAGTGTTAGTATATATTTACATAGAAGGGCCAAGGAATTGAACTCACATTCTGGAAGACAAAGACGTCTCACGTCATCCGCTTAAAGAGGATGATTCCACACTTGGGCTATGGTGATAAAGTTGGTGCGACACCTGCCCAACGACGCCGACATCCATTATGTCAGTGCCTTGGGCTTGTCAGGAGTCTCAGCTACCACACTGTGCGGTCCTTTGCAGGAACGACACAAAGGCTCTAAAGTTAGAGTCTGTGGTTATATATTGGAGGTACAATTGAATGACGAGATCGATAGTGAGCGACAAATTAAGCTATCGCCATTTCATCGTCACTATAGTCAATCAAGTCTGAGTCCCCGTCCGTGGTCTCCTTACCCAAGCTCTGCTCTTCGTCTACCCCCTCACCAATCATCTCATCCTCATCTGGAACGTTGAAGACGAAGGATTGATGACGGGCATCAGAGGCAGAGCCAGGGGCAGGGGCAGGGGCAGGCTCAGCAACAGTGTTTGTTGCAGTAGAGGTAGCTGGTCCAGCAGGAGGCTCAGCAACAGGATTTGCTGCGGTAGAGGCTCCAGCTTCTGGTCCTGCTTGTTGTGGTTCAACTGTGGCAGTCGCAGCATCTTCCATGTTCTGGTCACTCTCTCGGACGCGTTTCTGAGGTACAGGACGCTCACCAAGATTGGCTCGTGGCCAGGGGAGATTTTCGCCGTCCCACCACTTCTTAGCAACCTTCAAAAGTGTATCATTGGAAGTATCTGGGGGTGGAATAAACCCCTCCTTCGCATCGTACTTCTTCTGAAGCTCTTTGACGTCGTCCCCCTCCTTTCGGAACTGGCTCCAACGCTTCTTGCCCCATGGGAAAGATCCGAGAAGTCCTTCGTCATATTCTGCACTCATGCAGAACTTGTGCAACAACTTCCACCAGGAATTCTTCTTGGGGCCTTCATGAAACGCAGTCATGTTGCCGCGATCCGTGATAAGAATCTTGACCTGCTCGGTCAAGGGAAGTTTCGCGATCTTGTCGCACTCCATTCCAGAGTGATCGACTGTATCACAATGAGGACAGCCGAAGGTCTCACCTCCTTTCGTCTGCGAGAAACAGGTGCTGAGGTTGTGATCAGGGTTACCACACACCTTGCACCCTTCCTCTTCTTCTACCTCTTGCTTGGGATGAGGGTCAACCGAGCCTCGCAAGAGAAGAGCAGACTTGCCGTCGCAGTTCTTGCCATCGTGATCTTCAATTGTCTTCTCGACGGCATTTTCGGAGATGGTTTTGAACAGCTCCTCATCCACCGCGATCAGCTGCCAGATCACATGGGTCTTTCCTGACCTCTTGATGAGGTCTTGGGCCTGGTCGTCTACGCCATATCCAGGTGAGACTCCCCAACGTTGATTGTGGGGTCGTTGCTGGGCGAAGGCAAAGGTGTTGCCACCTCCAGGGGTGTGGTTCACAAGTCTGGCCGCCTTCTGACCCTGACTGTTTGCCACCCAAGTCATTTTGGACGCGGTAGCCGTTGCGAGACACTTGTCTTCCATCTTGGAAGACGAAGTGCCTGACTGGCGCCATGTCTGATTGTTGTTGTGGTAGACTCTACCACGTCCAGAGTGAGATCCACGACCGCCACGGCCATGGTGCCCCCCCCGAGACGTTCGAGAGCCTCCACGTGGAGGACCGGGCTGGGGATTAGAATCCTCAACACCGATCATGCTCGAGTCGCCATCATCGACGGACGCCTCTTGCTGCCTAGCAGCCGCTGCCTGCCGTCTTTCAGCCTCACGCCGACCCGCGGCTTGAAAAGCCTGCAGGTTCTGCGCCGGAATGATAGGCGAGGCCTTTTCTTCCCCGTGATTGGGACGTCCGCGCCTTGGGCCGCCGCCTCGTTGAGGGTTACCGCGACCAGAGTGGGAGGGCCTAACTGGAGCCATCGTGATTCAGTGATAAAAATCGTTAAAAAAAAAGTAGAATAAAAAAAGCGTTGTTGTGATGCTGCTGCTGCTGCTGTTGGTGATGCTTTGTGGAGGTTATTTTCGAGATCGCGTCTCTGGAAAAAGTCTCTGACCTTCGCGGGTGCCTTTTCTGCCTAAGGTATCTTTTTTCAGGATGGCTGTGTGCCGGCCGTTTGCAGTGCGAGCTGGTCAGTCATGTCAGGCCATTAAAGTCTCATTCAGGCACTGTCAGATCAGTGAACAGGCAACTTAATGATACATGGGTAACTGGTAGTCCTCATTAAATGGATATGGGTTATGCGTCTACGAGAAGTTTGTGGTTCACAGTACCCGTTTCATGATTAATTCACTTCAGTGCCTTTTAGCAGTCACTGTTATTAAACATGGCGGTCAACAAGGAGATCGATATAAGTGCGGACAAAGAGCTTTTATAGCGTATGCAGGTGTTTTGATTCATGTGTAATGTATTGTGTATGGAAATACATTCAATGACAGGTATGCCCTCCTCGGAGCTCCAATGAGCACAGGGGCTCAGACATTCGATGACAACGTTTTGAAGCCCCATGTCGGGTCTATCTATTCGCACGAAAATAGATTAATTATGGATCAATTTTGCTTAAGAATCAATAGTGGTTTTTTTTTCATTGCAGTCATATAAAGTCCAACAAGGATGTGAGAACATGGAAATTGAACCAAACATCCAGGCAGGGTTACATGCAGAGGGTTGAACTTGGGCGCGGAGACATTGCCTAATTGAGACAACCCGCGTTCTATTATTGGTCTGCTCTGCGACAACAACATGGTTCGCACGTGGCTCAATGAATTGTCGAGTGGAAAGAACCTAGCAGTACCTTCCGCCAGGCGTTGTGCCTCCTTGCACAAGCAACCGAAATGGCTTGCAAATTCGTATGCCAGGTGTACTTGTGCGCCGCCACTCGACCTCACGCCATTTGCAAGACACGCGATCCAGTGTTGTCATCGAGGTCGGTAGAGGCGCAATATAGTGTTCCCCGTAACAGACTTTCCGGTTGTTACAGGTTATTGACAAGAGCCGACCCGGTCAGGCTTCCCGTGTTGGAATGGTAAAGAACTACAAAAGTGGTTAGATGATTTCTAGCTGAGTGGTACGTGGAGTAATAGTGCTCACGAGTAGTGGCCTTGAGGTTGAACTGTGCTTCAATTCCAGGACCTGGGTGGTAGAAGAGGTTGTTGTCATTGTTCTCAGGGTCGATTGCGGCAGGGGAAGGACCGTGTAACAGCCACGTTGACGGCGTGGGCACCCCTCGTTGTAGCCCCTCACTTGGAAGACATGATTGCAATAGAGTTGGGCGGATGCGCCGCCTCGGACCACTGAGCCATTCCCGGTTTGAAGAATATTATTCTGGTGACCCGGTGGGCATCGGGAAGTGGTTGCTAGATCATATATGTATCTTGGGTGAGGAGGAACCGTGGGTTCAGATGTTCCTTTGTTGAAATAAGTGATGCGTATTCGGGACTGTGAATTTGGTAATGCTCTTGAAGCCACAGCAAGCGCCATTCATCGCCATCGAGCATGTGCGTGACCATCTCAGGTGGACGGTGGGAAAGGGGTGCTAAAGACACCAACCCGGCCTTTGTCTGTCTCTTATCGTCCTGCGTAATCTCATCTCCGTTGGCCGCATGTACAAGAGTAGCTGAGAATGGACTGGACGAGATGAAAGGAGGAAGTGCCAGCCCTTGGTTGATGAAGGCTTTCCGTATTGCCGACTTTCAATGCTCTATCAGATTCGAAATTGGCGATGAATGTGTAGTCAAAGTTGATCATGTAGTGATCACTTCTCATCTAGCGAAGGTTCTGTGAGATGTTCTGTCGCATGGGTGGATGATGAGAGCTCAACCCGACAATTCGTGGGGCATTAGGATTCGGTTACCAACTCATCTAGGTTGGTGACGGGGTCTAAAGACGCGAAAAGTTAGTTCGGCCGCTTTGAAGGTGAGACCATGGGTCATCAGCGATAAAGCATACCATGAGACTAAGACCTTAGGCCAAGGTTGAATCAATTGAACATTACGGTACGATGCCCAAGCCACAGTGGCGGAGGACTCGGAAACCTCGGAGACACAGGAAGGACGGCGAGGGCAGGTACTGCAAGCAAATTTTGAAGTCGACAGCTTCACCAGTGGCGTCGTTGTCGTGGCGGGGAGGATCGTCTTGATACTGTGTAGTGCCAAAATACTCGAAGCTGGCGTACTAGTTGGATGGGAATGATACCGAAGCGGACGAAGGCCATCTGTTTAATCTGGTTGTCTCTGAAGACCTGGCAAAGGCCCTGAAGCTTCGGGGCGGAAATTCGGCTGCAAATGCTGAAAGAATTTAATGTAGTGAAATAATCTGGAAAGTGATCTTGGTTGCAGAAATAAGTGTCTTGAGCACGGAGGGATATTGATAGCGCACTGATAGAGCACGAGCAGGTGAGAAGGCCGACAATGTCGGAAGTGAGGATTGCAGTTCTCTCCGGTATCTCTTGGGCGTGATCGACGTTGGATGGGAAATAGGATTCTTAGGCTATCGCGAAGATAGTCATTGAGAGCCCTAAAGGTACGGGCGCGTTGGGAGTACCGGTAGGCTCAGCATCACTCCCTTGAATGCTCACTTGTCTTGTTCCTCAGTTGCCCACGAATGGCAATATGCTTTGTATGTTCGGAAGCTGCCATGGTACAATTGAGGGAAGATGACACTGCCAGCAACCTTGTGCGAGACTTCAAAGCTGCGATGATGTCTTGGTTCGGATGTCGAAGGAGTTGCGGTGCTGGAAGTTCGGCAATGGTCGGTTGATGCAGCGGAGGATGTTGATTCGCTGGGAACAATCCTTTGGCCTGAGAGGAGGATTCGCCAAGTCTGTCAGGGTTCGTAGATGGACGTAAGTTGGATAGCATCCCTCTGCCTTGACGACTGATTTGATGGGACGACTGAAGGAGGAGATGGTGAGATGGTGCAAGTGGTGAGGCTTCGGAACTGAGCTCACGGGGACGATGAAGGCCACTGAAGAAGTTCTGGTGTGACCCATGGTGCGGTTGCTTGTAGTATCTGTGTCGTCGGCAGACAAAGGGCTTCGGCAAGTTGAATATGTTAGGGGCATTGAGGCCAATTTTCCTTCATATCCTGATTTGTCGTCTGATGTCTACTTGTCATGTCGGGTCGCGGGACAATCATTTGAGGAGAGGATAGGTCACTCGCACCCGAACAATTACCCCTTCCAAGGTTGCTCACTGGTCATCGTGAATAGTGCACTGAGTTTCGTATTGTGAACTCAGCCCTAGCATCCCATCCACAGGGCCCGAACAGGAGCTCCCTGGGTGGGGGAGCGTTGCCTTCGTGTTCAATTCAGGGACCCCGACTCAATTCTTTGTCCAATCTCTTGCTTATCAGCAGCGGTTGCGTCTCGTAGGTTTTTCGGGGACAGGAACCATGCAAATTCATGAAATTCTGCGTCGCGTTCTGCTTTCCGATGACATTGAGATCTCAGGCCGGTGTAATCTTATTACGGGGTCGCTCGAGTCTTCACTCATCCAAGGCTTCGTTCTCTCCGGGTCCGCGGCCCTCATCTGAGAGTGAACACGATGTTGCGAATGAGTCGAACGAAGTCGTGAGATGTTGATGCGTCAGCGATCTGTTGCAATGGTCAGAGCCCTCCTGTGTTGTCAGTTGAAACCTCATCCCGCCAAACCGTGGACAAGATTCGCTCTTACCTGAACATAGCGTACTGGTAGCTGCGGTGAATAGTGGTTTATCAATGAGCTCCGGAAATCATGGTAGATTTGTGAGGTACGAAGTCAAAATGGGCTTTCTGTGCGCCTCTTGCGTAAGCTTCGTTTGCCGACCTCAGTGACAGTCTGAGGGCTGGCAGCGAAACAGCCGGGGGTTGTATGACCTGCTCGGGCAAGGTGCGCAACGCGCAGCTGCTTGTTCCCAGTGAGCATCTCGTAGGACTCTTTGCCTACCACATGGGGCGGAAGATTTCTGGTTACGGACTGAATCTTGGGCATTTTCTCGGGGCTCTCGGGGAGAACGTCAAGCTCGGGGTGCGCTAAGTGACTCTCATTGATCCCGTTGTTATTCCGTCGGGCACCACTTTCTTTCACCCCCGGCCTTCTCAGCAGGATAGAATATGGAACTGTCGGATGGTCAGTGATTGCCCCAAGCTAGTCGAGGTCTCGGAGGCAGTTTGGGGAGGGCTTTTGAATGGAGGGTGCTCTGCCCGGTACTGCAACTCTGCCTCCCTCTCAGCAATGAAGGAGGCCTTCGAAACTTCTGAAAAGATTGCCTTGGCAGTGAATTTGAAAGACTGACGGAGAAAGCGTGTTGCCTGCCATGACGAGCTGCGATCATGTCCACGACCCTTTCGAATTGTTTGGGGCGTGCTTGGCCAATAGTGACGGTAATCTGGCTGAGACTGTTTTGACAAATGATCATTAAGATGTGTACGTGGTTCCCTCCTTTCACGATACCTCTTCTGCCGCCTCGTGGTTCATCCTTGTCCACGATACACCCTCCACTCGGCTACCTGAGAGGGGATCGGGCGCTGGAGATTGCATTGATTGACATCAAGGAGCCTCCTCGCCGTCTTCCGTGTGATTGCCCATATTGCTCCCCATAGTTCTACATACCTTCCTGTCCTAGATAAGGATATGAGGCGACAAATCTGAGCAATTCCGAACCTTGGATGGTGGCCCAACCTCGTCATATGTCGATGTGGGGACCAAAGGGGAAGTTTCGGGATGAACAGCGATGATGCTGGCTCTAGAATTGATTAGAATGGAGTCCATGATGCTATGCTGCATGAGTACGAGCAGCGATCTCACCACTGAGTGCGAATGTGTTTCTTGATGGTGTATGCGTTTGACATCCAAACATATCGCCGAAACATGATCGCCCGAGGATGGATGCGGCAGTGGCTGGGATGTGCCCAGCCTCGATGCCATCGATCTGTGTTTATCGATTTTGAGGCCAAGACGGTGATGGGTGCGGTCGGGTCAGTTGGAGACAACATTACTGAAGCATTGAATGGTACTGTCAGAATGGGTGGTCCTGGTTCCTCTCGTTCGTGAGTACTAAGACTCAACACTGATCTGATGCTTTGAGGTGTGTTTGACAGCAAAACCTTGCATCAGCGAGCCATGTTCAATGGTACATCGAAGGCTCACTCTGAGAATGGCCATCTTGCAGATACCCAATTCATGAGAGGTCTTCCTCTGGACTCGTCGGTGGAATGGTGCAAGACTCAGTATCCGGGCTTGGTGGGCTGCTCGCCAAAGCGGTCTATACAGGCTTGCCTGCACTGGTGACGACACAGCGGTTCATGCAAATTGGATTCTAATCCGTGGCTGTGAAATCCAAATCGCCTTGGTCATCGACAAATGTTAGAGTATCGAGTCGTTGACAACCGTAACCAACGAACTTTACGGTGATGGTACCATGTGCCGGGAAGGATAAAGGCATGGGAACGAAGCACCGGACCAAAAGGCGTTGGAGTTCCTAAGTCCGGCACTGTAGGATACCAACGCACACGAAGCTAGCGTATAAAAGAGTAGTACGGGATTGACATCGAGGTAGATGAAAGCCATCAGTTGGGTGCCTGCAGAGATTTGTCAAAGGCCATTGAGACTCGTAATCTTGTGGGATCGGCAGGTCCTAGTTGCTACGGATATCGACCTCAGTCTCGTTAGCCCCCGCAACAGGAAAATTACCGTAACACTCACATGTACCATGCTGCGCCCATTGCCGTTCGCTCTCCCTCTCCCTTTTCTCATCATTGTTGTCGGAGAGGCTCGCCTCGGGAGCACCGTTGAGAATGATCGCCCCTCCCGGAGGCGCATACGTGCCACGAGGCATATACTCGATCATTATGTATACGGGAACAGGGTCATTGTCCGGGGGGTCGATTATGGCTTGGACATCTGACTGCAGAGCCCAACGGTGACAGATAGAACGCAAGTGACATCGAACCGACGGTGTCGAGACTAACGAAATTGATGCTCTTTGGAATAGAAGTCTCGGTGGATGCCGAAAATGAATGGGGTTGGTACCGCTGCTGTCGCCGGGAGAGGGATGTTAGTCTAGGCGGCAGGCCAAGTGACACTGTTAGCAATCTCGTACGCGCAGTTGCTGAAGAGACTGAGGAAATCAGCAGCGGGTTCAAGAAGGAGCGAGTGAGAAGGTTAATTAGTCGGTAGAGTCATAAATAATGAATGTCTGGCCAGGGTTGTTTATCGGGCTATAAGTGCGTTGCACCCCAGGAATGTGGTGCTTGGCGAGGGATGTCTGGCGCGTGGTCTGAGGTTGAGATAGCCGTCTCGGTTCATAGCTATTTCGAGGTGGAGAAGCTGGCAGACTGTTTAAGGAGGCGTATCGACTTTGGAAGTCTCCAGTACTCTCCATTGATGAGTGATATCTTGAACTCTACTCAGGTTCTTGATGTTACGGTGGCGAGTCTGGGCCGCAAATGAAGCGCCAAATTTCTGGTTGATCCGGCATCTGCGAGGTCGATTGCGGTGTAAAGTTATAAGCTCTCCCGGTGCTCCGAGACTCACAAGGTTGCATGCCTTCATCGGGTGGTAGCGAAAGCTCTCCGTGTGACAAGCATCAGGGGGGGTTGATCTCGCCAGTCGCGCATCCGACAGTCCCCAATGCTAGAGATCCTTTGCCGGCAGGTCTGAGGAGGGCATTTCGATCCAGTCAGAAGTAAAGTGATGTTTTGGTACCCTTCGTCCAATGTTAGTAATGCCAGACGGTGCGACAATGGTGCTTAAATTCGTGAGCTTATCCGTACGGACTGTTACGCGAATTTCAAGCGGAACGGAGGAGAGTTTCCATGCTGGATAGGGTGGGCGGATGAAAGTCGAAAAGTCGAAACAAAATCCATCAAGAGGTAAACATGCGAGTGAGGAGATGTGAGGATGAAGTCGACCCACCGAAGCTGAGGTTACTGTTGTCGAATGGTGAGCTTGAGCCGAGGATGAGCCGAGGATGTGGAGTGGGCCTTTCGGACGACGACACATAACCCGTCATGTGCTTCCAACTCTCTCTCGAGTCAGCTCATTATGTTTGGCATATCTGAGGATTGATAACACGGTTGTCTCAGTATTCTCCATCAAGAGATGCCAAATTGCGCTGATTTCCCAACGGGTTTCACCGGAGGCAATACAGAGTGTTGGGCAAGGGTTGAAGGGGGGGCACAACTGACGACGTTAAGCTTCATACAACGTCTCATAGCTACGACAAGAGCTACTTTGTGGATCTTAGAGGATTCATGTTACTGGCTCGGTAGTATTCGGCTGAAGGGGGGATGTTCGTATCGTTTGAGCGATATTCTGACTGGTGGGGAGGATTCGGCGATGTTGCGATCATGGATGAGAGGTTGGTGAAAAGGCATAAAGAAGAGTTAGCTAGTGCCTGTCATGAATGAATCAGTCCTTTCCCAGGAATACACAGGCATGCGCCTCGAGCCTTAAGGTGATGATACCTGTATTGGCTTTCAAGGAACTCAGAGGCCCCTGAGCTTGTCCCTGATCCTGAATGTATCTGTGAGCCCGAATGTTGGAGTCGGTGAGCTGACTTGCCCTTTGGCAGACAGTAAATGGCGTTTCGAGACCCGCGAGACAGCCCCAAAGAGCAAAAGATCTTTTGACGTCAAGCCAAAGGGAGGACAGCAATTGGTGTCAAGTTTTGATTAGATACGGGAAGCTCGACTAAGCCTTTCATTACCGAGAATCGAGCTGTAATTCTTCTGGCCTTAGACGGCAACCCGTAATGCGAAGTTGCATCCCTGACCAACTTGACTGTTATCCTAAGATACCCTCCCCGTTGTCGACGACATTTCTCGTAGGCCTCGCAATGGCACGAATGCGGAAGTGATAGTGTCCACCCCAACCTACGTTCTAGCGACGCCTCGCCACCAGCAGTATCCGATCGACTTGAGGGAGAGTCGTATCGCATAACCTTGATCCTGAGTGTGTCGGCAGGCCCATGACTGCCGGAGTGGCTGAGTCGCTCCAAACCGCTGGGTGGCAGGGTCGACTTTGTTGGTGCGGTGCAGGACACAAAGGTTGCTGGCGCGGTGGATGAATCCAGTGATAACATTAGGATGATCACTGCTTTTAAAGCTCTGTTAGTATAACATTACCATAATACAGAAGTTTTGACTTACCATGCTCCTGAGGGAGATCTATATGGCTAAGAGCTTTGGCGGTCGACACATGCCATTAGTCGAACACTTACGGCATAACCACGTCAGAGTCTTCCGACATGCTGTCCCCCTGGCTATCATGGATCTCGGCTTCCTCGCTTGTTCCATCGTCGTCGGAGGGAGAGGCATCTGGAGCTTGTCGGTTCTTGGGTCGTAGTCTCCAGTGTAGAGGAAGGTGACCATGCTCCGAACGGTTATGATATTAAACTCCCAGTCGGCCTCTCTTATCATGGATCTCGGCTTCCTTGCTCCTTTCATCGTCGTTGGAGGGAGAGGCATCTGGAGCTTGTCGGTTCTTGGATCGTAGTCTCCGGTGTAGAGGAAGGTGACCATGCTCCGAACGGTTGTAATATCAAGCTCCCTGTTAGTTCTTGGGTCGAAGTCTTCAGTGTAAAGGAAGGTGACCATGCTCCGAACGGTTGTGATATCGAGCTCCCTGTTGGTTCTTGGGTCGTAGTCTCCAGTGTAGAGCAAGGCGACCATGCTCCAAACGGTTGTGACATTGAACTCCCGGTCGGCCTCTCTCGATACCTGGGAAGCGGGGGTGACTGAGGAGAAGGAGGAGCGCAGTGCTGAACAAATGACTATTTGCCCGGTAATGGCTCAGGTGAGCACTCTGCCCCCCTCATAATCCAACACAGTGGTTTCCCTTTGTGCATGATTGATGAATGAGCGGACGACATCTCAAATCTCGGTTAATGGTCTCATGTTCCGTGGGTTTCGCTCGGAGCGGTGATAGGTTGAAGACTGGCTGAAGGTCCCGCGGCACTATCGTTGATGTAAGCGGGTGAACATAGCAGTGGACGGTAAAAGTACAAGTTCCTTTTGACCTGGGATCAATCATGTCGTCGAGTCGGCCGATGGAAGGAAGTAATCATGGGGTGGAGCGGCCGAACGGATCTCAATGATGTCGGATGTTTGTGCGTGACATGCCACGTTGAGGGACGACAGTCGAGGAATCAGGTCTGAAATAGCATCACGTCTGTATGAGACTATCTTGATACAGGAGGTGCTAAAGGATACAATTGTTGGATGCCTGAATGACTTGAGGAAGCGGGGTGAATTAATAAGGCTGAAATTCGGGACGGTCACCCTCGGCGGACAGACCTAATATGGCGACAGAGGTCACCTCCCTGTTGCCCACCCATACCACCTCACGCTCAACCGTTATCTTGAAATAGCCTCCCACCTGTCGATCAAAGACATTTCTCGTGGGCCTCGATGACGCGAATGCGCAAATGGTGATGTTATCCCAACCGAACTTCCAGCAACGCCTCATCACCAGTGTTGTAAGAGCAGCAGTATCCGGCGACTTGAAGGGAGGGCCGGATCGCTGAATGTTGACCCTAGCATGTCGGCGGGCCCTAGGCTATGATTGACGGAGTGGCTGAACCGCTGTCAAACCGCTAAGTGGTCATGGCCAGTGGGAGTCGGGTCTTGTCAGTCGGTAGTCAAGTTGTTCTCTCCAATGCACCCAGATACTGATCATATGCATCGCTTTTGCTTGAACCAGCAATGAACGTCGTGCGCATGAAGAGCGAGGCAGGGTCGGCTTCGTTCGTGTGATGGAGGCCTCGAAAGTTGCTAGCGCGGTCGATGACTCTAGTAGTGACAGTAAGATGATCACTAACTTTGAAGTCGTATTGGCATGATATTCCCATAGTGAACAAGTTTGAACATACTAGGTCCCTAGGAGGGGGATCTGGATAACGACGGAAGAAGTGTCGGTCACCTGCATCACGCGCATCACAAGCTGTTGGGCGCTGGCTGCATATCTGACGACACCCACGAGCCTGCAGTCGGCAGTGGGGTGACAAAGTTGTTGTTCTCGTTGGTAGACATGGTAATGTTTAGGTGCGATGATCGAAAATGGGAGGGCTTGGATGACGGGTAAGCCAGGATGGATGATTGGGGAGAACAAAATTCTGAGCACCGATGGTGGAAAGTGAGAGAATAGTAGCGAAAGTGTAATGTCGAGGCGGAGAATGCCAAATCAACAGAATCGGCCTTTTACCAACGCGTAGTGAGACACGGTCAGCCTTCCGTATGGGATCCGCCTGGGAAGCAAATATCGAGTCTCACGTATCCCACAGAGCGCTCATGGGGTAGTGACAGAGCGAGAAGGGCGACGATTCGGGAGGGCCGTGAGTGACGATGGTCGAAAAGATAGGGCAACCGTTGTTGTTTGACGGCGGTGCGCCTGAACAAGGCTGCGCTAGGCCAAGGAGTTCTGTGCATAGTCAAGGCGACTGAGTTGTATGGAGCGGGCGTCAACTGTCTTGCAGTCTTGGAGCTTCCGATTTTCCAGTCTTGGTCCGGATGAGTTCTTGACTCGTGCAATCTCTGTTGCTATTGAGATGATATCGTCATTGATCAGCGTCGTGATTTTCGTCCTTGTAGCTGCACCAAGGGAACTCCTGACTGGGGTGACCATAACTGCTCGGGGTATGAGGCGTACTCATGTACAACCCAACTCGATGTCTGTGGCGAATGGAATCGTACAGTACCAACGTCGCGCTGGTTGTGGGGAAAATGAACCCAGGATGATGAATCGATCAATAACTAGATCGGCCGCTGGTTACCTCCTCGTAATTAGTGGCCCTTGGTTGACTGATGAATTTGAGTGGGTTAGGTGATGAGAACCAAAACGGCGAAGTTGGTTGCGATACTGCCTCACGGAGGGGTAGTTGCATGACGTGTTGAGTTGGTGCGCATTGTAGATGCCAGTGAGGTGAATCATAGCCAAATGCCCGCCGGGAACAGGAGAGGAGCTTGGTTTCCACTGAGGGATGCGTCATCGGTGAGCTGAGGGTTACACGGGATAGAGTGCCTGAAAATAAGTCAGCATGATCAAGCTGTGCCGGCTACTCCGATAAGGATGAAATACAGAGGTGAGGATGAGAATATGAGAAAGTAACCTCTCAGGGTGTAGAAAGATGGGCAGCATCCGATACTTCTCCTCGGAACGAAGCTGATGGACCATGGTGAAGTAGCCCTCTCCTTGACTTGACTTGGCTTTCCTGGAGACACTGACGATACGCATGACAAGGCCAGTCGACTTTTCTCAAGGCAAACGTAGGGACCCCACTGATCGAAAACATTTCTCTTGCGTGGTGGCAAACATCGATTGAAGGTTGTCAGTCGCGAGTCAAGTTCTTTGGTGCTCCTTGTCACGTCGGAGGAGGCTTCCTGTTATTTCCCGTGCCGTCTCACCAACGATGCATGAGTTGTTTCCAGGCCATGTTGAGGGAAAACATGAAATCGTGAGATTGGTCCGGGTCAACAAACAAGTCGTGTGTTGAGTCATTGACCACATGCTCAAACACAAACGCGTACTGGAGAGGGTCGGGCTTAGGCGACAGGCAATGAGTCCAAAGAAGCTTGCAGCTCAACTGGCTTTGTTTTTGCGATTTTCTCATTGCTTTTTAGGGCAGCATGATCGTGGACGCTGTGTTGGTGGTGTGACGTTGTGTTTGTTCTGACGTGGAGTAAAAGGCTGCGAATTTGACGATTGGGGGCTTTGTGCATCGCAAACTGACTACGCGCCACGTCCCCGAGACACGAGATCTTTTCCCTGAGTCCTGGAATGCCTGTTGGCGGAAAAGAGAATGCGTGGAATTGAAAGGCGGTACACCATGAACAAGAATCGGAGTTGCGAGCGCGCCTGCCTTGACGATGACTGACGCGTGAGAACCATGTGAGGGTTACTGGGGAAGTGGAGAGGTATCCACAATTTTAAAGCTACAGGGTAGGGAATGCTCACACCTCTCACATTAATAAATTAATAAAAAAGCAATTCTGTATTCAGTAGAAGCCATATTTGTTATTTAGGTGTTTCTAGTGAGTTGACTGATATATTCTGAAGCATTTGATACTGATTTCCTGTTCTTGGCCCTCATTTTCATGATTTAGGACGCAATTGCTTACATTCGACCAGCAGAGCGGAGGGAGCACCATGAATGAAAAGCACGCCAGCTTCAACATAATCGTTTGAATTTCATCCAAACAGCATGTCTTCTTGTAAATAGATACCGCAAAGTCGATATTGTCATCCTGTACAGCTACATTTACTACACTTAATTAGAAGTTACCAAGGCTGATGAGCGCAACAACGCCGTCTTCTGACATAGGCCCCAAACACAACTGCACGCGTTTTTTGGCGTCACCAAGCCATCAGCACCAACCTTTGTGCTCCTTGACCATCGATTCCGATAACGGAAGCGCAACCACGGAAAGACTGACGCTAAGCGGTGCAAGGGAACAGCGTGATTGAGGTACTTGGTGGGTCTTTTCTGCTTGGCACTCGGACAGACTGTATTGGTAGTGATACGGCGCTCTATGCTTATGAGAGCAACCCTGACGAATATACTCTTCCCTCTTTACTTCTACAAACTTAAGCCACGTCTGATTAATCGCTTATGTACACTAACCGCATTCTATTACTTAAAAAGATGCCAGAATAGCAAACCCCCGACGCATCTAAGATTAACTATAACGACTATAAAGCGCGTAAGCTATATATAATTATATATACTAGAGCTATTAATTACTTTAACTATAAAAGATATTAATCTATAGCTAAGCTTATAATAGGGAATATTTATACTGCTTTTAAATAAGATAGACTTTTTATAGTTAGTATAATATACTTTAGCTATAAGCTAGATATAGCTTTTTAGAAAATTTACTATAAGTACTTCTCTTATCTTAATATAATATATCTAATTTTGCCTAGTTAGGGATCTTAGTAATAATAAGCCTATATACCCCTAGACTACTGGCCCTGTATAGAATCTTAATAATAAACCAGCTAAAGAGTATAATAACTGGCATTGCTAACGCGGATTGACTGATTCCACTTAGTCAGAGATGGATATCTCTGGTGGTGGTCCCGACGCGCAGGATGGCAATCCTGAGTATCCAGTTCCCACATTTGAAAGCCTGCAGCGAGCGTACCAAGAGACTGTCACTGTAGCGAATGTCGCTGCAGAGCTGGCGACCGAGAACGTAGAAAAGGTCAAATCCATTGCGAACCTCGTTGATGAGAGGAGACTTCTTCAAGAGAGGGTAGAGAGTCTGGAAGAGGAGCTGGTACGAGTCAGGTCCGAGAGGAATCACCTCAGGTCTGTACTCAGAGATACAGAATCCAACGGGTCATTTGGCCCAATGATCAGCTTCGGTCGGTCAACAGGGAACAACTCTGTACCCAGCCGTAGATATCATCGGAGATAGGGAGGTTATGAAACTTTGTTCTCATTTGAAATCGCCTCGGTAGTGCTGCTTACTGAGGCTCCGGGAGGGAAGACGCTTCTGTCATAGAAGCGCGGTACCAAATACGCTAGTATAAAGCACATCAAAATACTCAACTTATCTCGCAAGAAAGGTCCTCAATTCTGTTGCCCCTCTGAAAGGTTAAGCCCGTCCTGCAACCAATCTCCAGCTGTGAGCCATCTCAGGCCATCGACCAAAACCTGGCATTCCTCGAACGGTCGCTTGGAAAGACAAGGAAGATGGTGATGGGAAACGTGAGGCGCAAGATCCGTTACAACAGTTTGAAAAGGGCCACAATTTACATGAAAGAGCCAATCCATACGAGAGGATTCGGGTGCCGCCTTTCGAGACTCCGAGAGCCCGGCCTGATTTGAAGGCCCGCCATACGACAGCTGAGCTACTGGGCGAGCGGCAGGGCGACTAAGTACTGCCAGGTCACGAACCAGGTCCCAATGAACGACACACATCGAATAAGTTTGTCTGAAAGCAAGGCGCGGTCTTGGTTGAACTGTTCCTTGCCTCCAAAACACATGCACAGTCCTGTTCCCCTCAGGGGTCCGCCGACAGCAGACTAGCTTGCTTCCGCCTTCGAGGGACGTCAATGTAGTCTTTGTTTATCATCCGCTTGTATATACTTGTTATCGTAGTCTACGGTCGCTTGAAGTTGGGCACTTGCAAGAGAAGAGTTCAGGCAGACTAAGAGTTGAGGGGGATGGAGCTCAAGGCTACAATGGAATCTGATTTAATGACCACTCAATTATAGATACAAATTGAGCTACACGGACAATGAATGAAGAGTAGAATATGGTGATGAGACAGGGCAGGTCGTTCGAATGAGGGATGTGATATGGTACCATATTTCTCGGGATTCAGCAGTCGGACCACCTGACAGGAAACGACCTGGAACAGATATACCAGAGCAAGACTGGGCAGATGGTACAGGTCGGATGATAAAGCACGTGGGGCTTTTTATAGCAAGTGTTGTCCTTGAGCTACTTGTCCAGACTTCCAAGACACGTAGGGTTTGGTGAAAACTTGCGGCTACGACGCATGGATGGTAACATAGCTCGGCCCTACCCTCAACTAAGCACAGTCCTCCTCTACTGTGTTGATAGTCCCGTCCGGCAGATCGAAAAATGTCCCTTTCTCTGGCGAATGTTGTGATGCATCCCGAGAACCCCTATCGAACAGGCCACTCACTCTTCTACCCTGAAGAGACAATCGACTTCGACCCTTGGTCTCCCCGACGCTCTGGAATAACTGGAAAGTCTTGCCGGCAGTCCAGCCCTTCTTATCGTGAGCTTGATAGCCCAAGGGCGTTCTTTGGTGATCGTTTTGATAAGGTTCGGGGATCCACCGCCCGTTTGTCGGTACGGGACTTTTGCGGCATCGATCGCGAGGAACCTGCTTGAGCCTATCAGGATTAGCTATATGAACAGAAGGACGTTTTCCAATCTCACTAATGGGGATAATGACTCCTTATACTGTACTTGCTGAAATCCTCCTGCTAAATTTATGATTGTAAAGTTTGAGGATAGTGCAGTTGCTAGTGTTGAAGATGACGCGCACGACGGTTGCCATGGTATAGGTGATGAACTTGCTGATTGTGACTGAGACCGTGTTGCGTTAGGGAAGGACGACGGTATTCGGTCATGTTGGTATCGTTTCGGTGGTGATCGCTTGGCGACTACATTTGGACAGCCCGTGGTGACTGCTGTTGTATTTCAAGATCATTGGCATGAAGGACTCGATTCAGGTGGCCCATATTCTCGTGACTCCGACAGAATGCTGCATCCTCAACACGCCCCCTGACCAGTTTTCGCAATAGGCAATTGGATGTTCGCGGAGACATTGAGAAAGACTGAGACTGGCGGGAACTCTGTAATTGAGCCAAGGTTACCGCATCCACTATGGAACTAGAATCAAAAGCTGGATGCGAGGCGTCACAAACGGGTCCCGACTGTGATTTGACTGCGGCGTTGTGAGCTATCTAGATTCTTAATGAGACGTGCTTCCGTTCTTGCGGGAGTTGGTGCATCTGTCTCCGTTGGGCATCATCGTAAATGTGACACCAAGCCGCACCTCCAAGCCAAAAGGAACGGGGATTGGTCCAGTCCAGCTCTAGTGATAGCATCAGGAGGCTGCCCCAGAGAAACGAACGATTGACCGCTAAAGAGCGCGAGAGAGGATAAGATGGACAGAGTTTCGAGGCATGGGTCCAGAGTAAAGGAGACCGTGCTGTAGGGATCGAGTTAGGGGTGGGCTTAATGGAAGTTAGATCGAGGAAAGCGCAAAGTCAGAGAAGTGATGAGATTATACCTTCCAGGGAGAATAAAAGTCTTGTTCATGGATAGCGGGATGGCTGAAAGCAAGATGTTGCTTAGTTGGCGTCGCGGATGGTTCTGTAAATTGACGGACTCTGGCAGCGGGAATTGCACGGAACCTTCAACCGTTAGCACCGCTGTATCGATTGTCCGAAAGGGATGCGTGTTTGAGAGCTGTGCCGTGAGCTCTTTATATTCCCGGGTCAGTGACACCCGGGTATTGAGGTCTCAACCTGTGAGCTATCCATAGTACCCCCTGAGGGACTCAACTGAGCATCCCATAGCATTTGCATACATATGCCTTGTCTCTCTGTCGTCGGTGCCATGGTGACGGAGCTCTCGTGGGTTTGTTGTTACATCAAAGTCGTCTTGCTGTCACCAAAGTGGGAGCGCGCTGGCCATCACAAAACAAACGGGTGACCACAAAACTGTAATAATATCTGTATTCATGATGTGGTGGAGGGTGCCTCTGTGTTGGGCGTTCGGCAACAGTGTGTTACAGGCCACGATGAACCTTGTCAACTTGCCCCGAGATTTGTGTATGCTGACGTGGGAATCAGATGATCCCCTTTGCCTTTCAGCGATGCCGATGCAGGAGAATCTTCTATGTTGGATTGAAATTGATTTGATCGTATCACTGTCTCAATAATCGACGCTGGGTCTGAGCCACGAAAGGCGACGATTCTCTGTCTTAGTGTAGCGAGTGCGCAAGCTTCACGCGATCTGGCCTGGTCATCGAAGGGCCTATCGATGTCAGTCCATTGAAGAAAGTTCCGGTCATATTCACACACCTCCTGAGGCAAGAGATCCCTTCTCTGCTGTGAAATCCCTGGCCTGGCTAGTTTGATGCTACCCATAAGAGTCAGGGTCTGACGGACAAAAACAGGCCGTGTCAATCGTGTCGCGTCGCTGCCATCAGAGGTTGAGCTGTCCGAGGCCTTGGCCCACTCGCTGATTCCACAGGAACAAAGCTTCGGCGCGTGGCTTCGATCGAGGAACCCTGAGATAATGATCGAGATGGGCAAAATTGCCAAGAGAAATATATAGCGATAAAGTCTCGATCGAGTAGCATGATGCACGGCTCGCTGTTGTGGGGGATTCGGTGACTGGGTTGGCTGTAGATGGCTAAAAGCTGAGGCTCAGGTTTAGGCTGGCCTGAGCGAGTTCAACATGAGTTGCCGACATTCAACCGAGCCAGTATGCACGGTGGCACAAAACAGATGAAAACATGCGAGTTCCGGGGTATGTTCAAATGTTAAGAGGAAACTATCATATAAGACCATTTTCTTCATTAAATAGGCTGCGGCAGTCTTGAAGGTCCCATTGTCCGAATAGCTATGCACTTCTTGATCTCAGATCATGTATTCATCCCGCTATTCAACCATATCGTGGTCAAGACGTTTGCGGTACCCAATTGACAGCCCAAGAGTGAAGCTCAACGTTCTTCTTACCTGATGCTCGTTTGTAATTGTGATCTGCTCCACTTACATACCTAAGTTGACAGCAGCGATAATCTATAGCAATATTCTAGCCCCGATCGCCGTTGGTCTGAATGACCTGTCGGCAAAGTTGAGCCTGGCACGACATGAGCGAGGAAGGTACTCCAACGTGAACACCTGCCAACTGCTAAACAAAGTTTTATGCTTAAAACCTGTCCAATAGTGACCAGCACTCTGCCCCAATTGGGCAATGAAAACTAATGGTGAAGGAGCGGGTTTTGGCGATGATCTGAGGAATGATGCAGAATTCTACCTGCTTGGGAGGAACCTCGATCTTGCTAGTCGAAAGCCTTGCCAACTTCTCGATACCGTAGTAATCGGAGGGGGTGGATGGTAGCCATTCAATTTCACTACCGTCAGGCACGTACGTGAAGCGTCAAGGATGTGGTCATGCTATTCGTGTACATTTCCCCAGTGAATCTTTCGTAGAGGTTTCCAGCTGTGCGTGCCTCATCGGAGAGCCAGCAACGGATGATTGATAAGTGATGCTCGTTATCGGCCACTCCCAACTTTGATGGCGTCAGGAGCTGTAATGAACCATCCAGAATGTGAGGTGGCTCTCGAGCCGTGAAAACCAAGTCGGGAGTGTCAGCGTAGGAAAGTCTCCGAGGGTACCCCTGTGAGAGCGTCCCAGGTGCGTCAATTTGTCGATTCGGTGAGACTGATGTGTAGACGAGGTCCTTTTACAACTTTGTGACGTTTGCTGATCATTCAGCCTCCCGTGTTTATTCTCGTGTAATAGGAAGTCGGCCTGTAGTTATCGTGAAACTGATAGAGGCATCGGGCAACGCTGACGTGTTTCATTATAAAATACGTCTAGGAAATCGTGAAAACAGGGCTGCGAGGTCATTTCTGGGAGTAAGATATGTCAGCTAAGACCAGGTCAGCCTCGCCCAGTGAACACTCAAGGCTTGCCTGAGTGACTTCTCCTGCTGTGAACCATGACTCCGACAATGTCGGCATTGGCGCACGGGTAGGGATGGCGGAAGGAAATGGCCAACGTTGCCGGATACACGGCAAATGAATGCCGATAAATTCGAGGTTCGGGAAGACCGGAGCTTAGATCGCGATGGAAGCCTTGTTCAATCTGGATGGATTATGGTGAAGATGATGAATATGGCGCCGTTAGACCTGAGTGGGTACGCAGACTACCCCGCTCTGATTTGCGTAACGTGACGCTCCCATTTGGAGAACACCGACAAGAACCAAGAGTGATTTATGTGACTTCCTACTGAAGCTGAAGGCATTGTCATGCATGTTTTTGGTATTATGAGTCTACGAGAGAGCCTCCAGGACAGTAGATACCCAGGCCTCCTGAATCCACTGGAGCGAATCAAGACCTACCTCTTAAAATTGTGAGGACGCTGAGTTACAGGCCAAATTTACCCAAGCGTACTGTCTCTCTTACAACCATTAGAAGCTTTGCACCTTGCGAACATTTACAACGTTTAGACGACAAGATCTGCGGAGGGAAAACATCATTTCTGGTAGCTAATGAAGCTAGGCTCTTAGTACAAATACAAATAAGCTCCGTGCCTCACCCAGGCCATGCTCTCCTCTGACCTCAATTCCATGAGTCCCGTTGCTGGCTACTCCTTGAAGGGGCGATCTGACCCATATCCAGGAGAGTTCTCCTTAACGTACCAAGCACGCTTTGGCCGATAGAGCCCATCAAGTTTGATCCGGGGATCCTTGTACTCTGGATTAGATTGGTGAGAGTCTCCAAAAAGTTTGGTGTCAGTCGTTGTCGACTCAGCTTCGGATGCTTTGAGTGCCAGAATCGCACGTTTGAGGTCGAGATCGACTATGCGATAAAGGGAGAGGTCTTCCTGAGAGATCGGATAAGTGCCTACTTCAGGAAAACGAGCAGAATCCGTTGGGTCGTTTGACCGTTGCTCGTGAAGCCCATAAATGAGCATGTACTTGGCGGGCGCATCCCGGACAGACCATCGATGAGCCATGAAAGATGGGGGCTCATACTCGCCGATGATTTCGGGCCCATAGTTCATATAAGTACGGACGTAGTCGTGTTTGTTGTTGCTGTCATTGAGGCGAACAACCGCCAGGACTACATACTTCTTCTCTCTGCCAGCAGCAGACAAGCCGGCATCATCACTTGAGACTAGGGGGACAAAGCTTCGGAGGCTGTTGAAATCAATAGGTTGACTTTCATCAGAGTGATAGAGGATGCGGATGATGGGAGGTCTCGCGGTGGTCGCTTCGAAAAGCTCATCGGCAAAGCTCTGCAGAGTTTGGCCCGGTGTTTGAGCAGGATGGAATTCGAGCAAGTCGGCATGGAGATAGCTACCAACAATGTCTTGGTTTCCCACGCTGCTTTGGGTGCGTGGACGGACAACACGCATGCCTGGGTGAGACCAAAAGGTGTTTTTCATCAGTGATGATTCGCAGAGCGTGTAGAATGACTCGTCGGATGAGAAGCCATTTGAAGCGAGCTCTGTGGCCAACTTCTTCATAGACACGGTTGCTTGCTCGACCTCGTCCGGCATATCACCAAACGGGTATACACAGGACCCTGAGGAGTCACGGTCTTCTAAAGATAAGCCCTCTGAGGTCATCTTCGCCCCAGGCTTCAGCCAGGCGCTGTTTACACTTATCGTCCATCCATGTTGGGAGGGGGATGCGGTGCTTTTCCTCTTGGCTCTTCAGTTCACGATCAAATGCCGGGTGAATAACCAGGAACCTTGGCCTCGCGATGACCTTGTAAATCGTGTTTCGGGCCTCCGGACCCTGCGCTCGATGTTCGATGACCCCAACAGAGAGCCCATTGGCATAGCAGAGATGATGAACGCTGTACACAACTCTCAGACGGAAGACGACCGCACAACCTTCTCGCGTTTTCTACACTTCCTAGGTGGCCAAGTCAAGTCGACGTCGAGCGACAACCAGCCACAAACGTATCTTGGTGTGGATGCGTTGCCAGTTACAATCAAGGATCTGAAGTTCCTTACAGCGGCTGTGACGGAATTCGATTGGGATGAAGACTCTTGGAACTGTAGCCCATATGAGGTATGGAGGGCTTTCCGGGCCGAGCGAGGCATTGGCAGGGAAGAGGTACCAATTACCAATGCCGACACCAAGAGATATACTCTCCGAAGCTTGAAGGATGCCTATCGAGATATTGCCCGGCAAATAAGAGCGTCCCGGGACGGCGCTTCTCGAATTGAGGCACCTCATCGAAGCCTGTTTGACAAGGACCGAGAGAATACAGCTCATGAAGAGGAAGAAGACATCCGGATTGACAACATACCATTGCCTCCAGCTGAGGATACCATGGAGACGATGACTGGCAATGTATCCGATATGCAAACAGAACGTACGCCTTTTCACCCACGGCGAGGGGGGAGAGAGCCCCGTCGTAAAGCTCTTGTCGATAGAGAGGAGACAGAAGATGAGGAGGAAGACCTACGAAGGAACCTGCATTGTGGAGATGAGTCAAACGACACGCATATTATGCAGGGAACGATCGGCAATGGTACGATGTCTGGACTGTCATTTGAATCACCGTTTACCCTACCTACAGTCCCAACATCTCTCAGACGGCCGAACGCTCGGCTGGTGCCGCTGACGCCCGTGGGCCCTGGAGAGAACTTGACTCAGCGTCTCCAGGAGGAACGACTCGAGAACCGCGTCAAATACTCAGAGGCAAGCATCAAGAAGCTCCTGGATACGCAAAATTGTCACAGCGAAGCCATCCGCAATCTTCAACGTCATGCCGGGTTACAGATTCTGCCGCCACATCAATCTGAACGAGTCAATGGCCCCGCACCGACTCAACGAATTGGGGTCTTGGAGACGCAGAATGAAACCCTCGTTCAACAGAACCAGGCTCTTCGAGAACGGATCCATCAGATGGCCAACCATGCAGATCAACATCGGGCGGAATGGTCCCGAAAGGTCAATGCCTTGGAGCTTGAAAATTCGACTCTGGAGGCGACCCTGTCTCAAAAAGAAGAGGATCTCCGGGCTGAGATGGCGAGAGTCTCGAATCAACAGGTTGAGTGGTCCCAGAAGACCAGATCACTCGAGCAGGAGAATTCGACTCTCCTGGGGATTGTTTCTGGAAAGGACGAGGTCCTTGCACTACAAAGCGAGAAGGTCAGAAGCCTGGAAGCGCAATTGAACACAATGAAGGCCAGTCAGCAGGAGGCTGCATCCTCGACTGAAGAGACCGTTCAGTCATCCAATCACCGTATTCCCTCAAATGACCACGCCCTGCTTGGAAGTCAAAGCGTCGGGCTTCCTGTCCAGATGGAGTCTCCTGACCACTTCAAACAAGAGACTGATGTTACTTCGCAGAGCGATGAGTTCGCATCATTGAGAGGCCAGATCCCCTCTCTTGAAGGAGATGTCGGCTCTCCCAGACGTGAAGAACAAGCAGAGACTTTTGCACCAGCATTTCTTGGGGTGAATGATGATTACCTTGGTTGGTATAATGCAAGTTGAAAGATGAGACTCGAACGGCTGATTGATGGTTGGTGGTGTTTCATAAAGGAGGCGTCGATTTGAGTAACTGGTACAAACAGTAGACATGGAATTACTTTGCAGAGGCATTCACAGGACAAATAGATTGAAATAAAAGACTTACATGCTAAGCTACTGATAAGCTTGGGAGAGAGGCGATGTATTTCTCTGCTTCGTCTGCGTACACCGTAGTTGGTGACCTGTTGATGGATGGCGCCATCCTTTCTTATATTAACCCAGTTTGCGGTGTTGTGGAAGATTGACCTGTCGCCCCTCATACCTAACTAAGGTTCTAACTATTAAAACTAGAAGGGCTGGATCGACTATAGCTATTAAACTTTACTAAAAATACATCCGGCCGGTATCCTGTTTACTAAAGTCTACTGAAGTCTACTGATACGCTCTGCAAATCTTATAAAATCCCTCTCCCCTGCAAGCCTCCTTATAACTATGGAGTCTTAACAAACTTAGACTGATGTTCGCGACCTCTACGATATTATCAACGATTATAAAATAAAAACTGCCTCCTATATTCTCGAATTCCAGCCACCAACAACTGCGGGAATACCGTGGGCCTTCATACGCTGATCGCATCCTGCGATGGATTTACACTGCTGCTATGTTTCGTCCGCAAGGCCTGGCTCAGATATCATCACAGCTTTGTGGTCACATATACGTTTTTGGATGTTTAGCGCGCTCCTACTCCGGTGACGGCAAGATCGGTTTGGTATGATAACAGACCTACGAGAGCTCCGTTACTATGGCACTGAAGACAGAGAGATAAGGTATATGAATGCGAATGCGGTGGGATTCTTAGTCGGATCCCTTAGGGGATAGCTTATAGGTTGAGACCTTAAATACCGGGGTGTTACTGAATCGAGGCTATGAATAACTTACGGCGCAGTTTTTAAACACAGACTTGAATCCCTTTCGGATAATGGATACAGTGGTGCTAATATTTGAGGATTCTATGCAATCCCCGCTGCTAGAGTCTTGCTAACTTACAGAATCATCCGCTACATCTTGCTTCCGGTCAATCAAGACCGCGCCTTGCCTTCAGACAAACCTGTCCGACGTGGGTCGTGAATTGGGACTCGGTTTGTGGTCTGGTTCAGTACGTAGTCTTTCTGGTCTATTAGCCCAGCGGCTCAGTTACCGGATGGCGGGGGCCTTCAATCAGGCCGGGTTCTCGGAGTCTCGAAAGGCGGAACTCCCAAATCCTATTCATATAGGATCATTGGCGTACTGTTTTATATAGATCGTGACACTTTTCAAACTGTTGCGACGGTACCTCGCGCTCACGTTTCCCGTAATTATCATGCCTCGTCTTGTCAAGCGAGCGTTCGCGGAATGCCAGATCTTGGCCAATAAAGCCGGACACTGGTCGCAGGAAGGGCTTCGAAATTGGGGACCTGTCTTATGAGGCTAGCTGGGTACATTAACTTGCTTTCAACTAGATTATTCCGTGCCCCGCTTCTATGAAAGAGGCGTCTTCCCTTTCTGAGACCCAGGTACGCAGCACTACCCAAGCAATTTCAAGACAGACCAAAGCTTCTTCATAACCTTCCTATCGGTTTTAAACGGAGGGGAGACTCATATCACAGGAATTGATCTCTTGCGCGCTGAGACCATCACGAGACACGTCCGTCTCGTACTGACTGGAGTCAGTCAATCCGCGTTGGTAACGCCAGTCGTTGTACTCTTCGGAGACTTCGTCGTTGAGATTCTGTGCAGGGCGAGCTGTCCAGGGGCATGCGGGCTTGTCCTTGCCAAGATCGCCGACTGTGGAAAAATCAGAGAGGTTGCAATGAGATGAGAGTTATACTCACAGTAGATGTCCCAAACAGCCAAGTCCAGCTTGTAAGAGAAGTACGCTGCACCGACCGAGGAAAATCTATCTCGTTCAAGAGCAGCGCAGACATTCCCCTTTGCAACTTTGACCGCAGACTGATATCTCTCGTAATCAAAGTGGTTAATAGCTCCAGAAAATGCAATCATATATAGCTTGCGCGCTCTAGCGTCGCTATGGTCAATCTTGAGCGCGTCCGGGGTTTGTTGTTTTGGCATCTTGTTCGCGGATGGAATATAATTAGTGTAGTTGAGAGGTTGAGCAGGAATGATTCGAGTTCGTGAAATTGTGAGTAAACAGAGCCTTTCAAAATTTTGTCAGATGGGATTACGAGGATGGAGCACTGTGTCACACATACTGGAGTGCGGCGCCACGGGATGAGTAAGCTCAGTTACCTTCCGGCAGCGACCCACACGCTTCCTCCGTACCCAAGCTAAGTGTCCTGTGGCTTTTGGCGGAGACCATGAATCAGGTTTTGGATCCTCTAGTGGCTGATAGCAGAAAGAATGACGCTCAGTGAGCCGAGAGACAGCGACATGACGGTGACCAGGCCGACATCAAAATCGAGTTATCGAAAATAGTGACGAGGACAACGTATAACTGTGCCTTAGCCACCTCAAGATATGGTATGACAAGAGGCTGGGGATAGTAGTGGCAAACAGTAAATCAATTGTATTTAAGGCGACTACCTATTGGCACGAGTTGTTGTTCCAGTGCGTTTCCATTAGGTCAAGATTTGGTCGAGGTTAGAAGGTAAGAAACACAGTTCGTTCCGACGCTTCAATATCCATCACCCCGCAAAATGTGATACGGTTTCCTTGGAGGCCATTTGAAATTAAAGTGCAGTTCATTTAATCAATAAAACGATATTAGAAAGAGGTCACATTGTTCGAGCACCGCTCTGAGACATTCGATGACCTCGTCTTTGTACCGCACTTCGGCTTTCAATAACGAGAACACGGGATCGGCCGATGCGGTTGTCATCCAGTGTAGACTCACTCCGCATGTAACCTTATGCAGGATGTTCGCTTCAATTTCCATGTTCTTACATATTTGTTGAACTTTATAAGACTACATTAAAAATACAACATTATTAATTCTCAAGAAAATATTAGTTCATAATTAATATTTTTAGGGTTAGATTCACAGTAAAGCATGGCTCGTTGATAGGATGGCAAATAACTGAGTCAATAGAGCGCCACTGGCTCAGACGTATTCATTGTACTTGTCGAAAGTGGTCACCATGGCGTACGGCCAGCACACCAACATCTACAATAGGCGATGGCTTTTGAGAACCTCTCGGAGGCGTTCGATGACCTCCTTCTGGTGCCGAACTTCAGCCTCCAGTACCTCATTCTTGGTTTCCGCGATCCGTTTCTCCCGCTCCACCTGAGCCTTCTCAGCTTTCAGCTTCTCGATATCCACAGCCAGTTGATGACACCGAGCCTTAGCTCCATCGAGTGCGCCGTTCTCGAATGCAATTTCTTCCTCCTTGCAGGTGAGATGCTTGTCCTGTGACGCAAGTCGTGTAACGGGGGCCCCTTCACTCAATTTACGCCGGGGCTCGAGCCCAAGAGAAGCGGCGAAACCAGGTGGAAGGCTTGGGGCAAGAACGCGGGACTCTCCGGGGGTTGGCGAGGCACTAAAATTGTAAGCAATAGTCACAATATCTGTAGAGCCTTACTTACTTGCACTCGGTGTCAACGGTGCCTCCGTTGGCCGAAGCAGGGCTTTCAGCGGTGTTGGTCTGGGACGATTCCATGCTGTGACTGTGAGAAAGAGTGAATACTAAGGTGTTGACGAACTTACTCGGCGTGCTTTGTTTTGTGTGAGTTGCACAGACTATGAAACTCAAGTTGGAAAAGTTGGTGGGGGAGAATGGCCAGGCTCAGCAGAGCAGACCGACCTGACGAAGATAGCCACAGGGTGAGGTGGGACCAGGGCAACGACTGACAGTACGTTTTAGTGGACTACCTTCTATAATGCCCCCAACCTCGAACGGTTACGGGTCAGACGAATGGAGCTGAACGCCTTAGCTAAGGTAGGTAGCACAGATAAGGGTTGGATGTACCATCACACGTGACCATCCCACTTCGCTGTACCAAAACCCGGCTCGCAAACTTATCCCGGTTTACGCCTACAACCTCTACTCCCCGCGTATCGCCTCCTCTTGGCCAAGCCTGTAAGTTTTCTGATGCCAAACCTGAACGCCTGATATCTGACAGACAAGGCAGCTCCAATCATGCCTTTCAAACGATTCAAAAACGAAAAGGAAAAGAAGCGGGCGCGACAGGCCTTGATCCGCCAGAAGACAGCCCGACTCCAGTACACCATGGACGCCATCCACAGTTCGCCCTTTTTAAGCATGGTCCCTCAAGTCGAGTGTATCGAATACCAAACTCCCTACGGAACTATCGTCGACATGAAGGATTTCTCTATTGAGCCTCAACAGCACCGTTTCATGGCTACCACCAATAATGGAATGTGGTGCAAGACCAGCTCGATCGACGATGTGAATGAGATGATTCGACTAGTTCAGCGCGAGCATGGGAACATCGAATTCTGCATTCGCCTCGATCGCTGCAATAAGGCTAAGCTCAACAAGGCCAAGGACTATGGGTGTCTGGCTAGACGAACTGTAAACCAGGAATACTAAGGTTTTATCGTCAATGGAGGGGATGGTGGATGAAGATATCAGTGACAGAAACCACTCCGATAGAAACAATTGATTGCAACACCGCCTTGCCATCCTGTCGATTGATTGTAACTTGTTGTGGCCTTTTATGGCAAAGTAAATCAAGGTTAATCTGTCTAGAGAAACAGAGATAATTTCACCGCGTGAAGGGTTTGTACATAGTGATAATCTTTGTTACAGCTTTTATGTTGGATGCAATTACAGATCAATAGCAGGTTGTGCCCTGGATGTGTCGTTTACCGATGAGACGTTTGAGTGTAGAACAGAGAACGTGGATGGTAAATGAAGAGTGCCAAAAAGAAACAGAAAGTAAGAGGATGTTAACAGTACACTATAATCAATTGCCTGTCGCCACCAGAATACACACTAATTACAGTATTGTCTTTCAAAGCTATTGTAGGTCTTATCCCCATCTGTCGCCCGTAACTGGTATCTTCAAGCGTCCGAATCCATCTCCTTCTTGTAGTCATCGTGCCACTTTTGAGAGCGGCAGAGGGCTCTGATTCTGGCCGAGTTGTCCTCCCAGCCTTGGAACCAGACCATATTGTAACGTTCATTCTCGAGGATTGCGGCCGAGGGGAAGTGAGGGGCAATACATCGAAGAGGATACAGGCGGGCATCATCAAAGAACACCCAAGCGCGCTGTTGAAAGACCTCCCTCTGTAGTTCCCTCGTTGATGTGAGCTGTCGCTTTAGGTGATCGTATATGAGCCCCTCATCTGTAAGGTGAGGAGACACTTCAAAGATGAGGTGACTATACCTTGCTACACGACGCTGATACGAATGCCAGAAATCCTCAAGTCGGATCAGCAAGCTCTCCTTCTGCTGGGGGTCGGAAATGTCGTAACTGAGGAACTCGACGACAAGCTCAAGGCCGAACTTGGCAAAATCTGCCGCCCCTCCACCGTCATGGAGTTGAGGGATACCAAGATCAGAAAAATAGTTGTTTGGATCAGGGTAGAGGCTGTCTGGGAACATGAGTCCCGGTTCGAGCGAGGACTCGTTGGGTGGCTCCGGCAACCAGGCGTCACCACATTGGGCAAAAATGGCTCCATGCAACGAGGAGACGTAGGTATGAATACATCGCACAGCGTTACTGTCTCGGTCGGAAACCAGAACCTTGGGGATATCATATGGGACGCCACGTCTTTGCTGAACGCGACTACCAAGGCCTGATTCGACGGCCTTGCAGTTCAGTTCGAAGAGCAGGAAAGCCTTGAGAAATCTGTTCCTCTCACTGTCTGTGAGCAGATCTGTCCGGGGCAAGATTCCCATCTTCTGACCACGGAACACAGTATGTCCATCTAAAGCTGGTGCATGGATGTTTGGTAGGCAAAGGTACTCCCTCGAGGGGAAGTCAGAAGTAGCTTTGGCGATGTAGTCTTGCATGAAATGGAGGATAAGACTGTGTAGCTTGTCGACTTTCTCAAAGATCTGAGGGTAGTGACCTTGAAGGGGGTTCGGCAGCTGTCTTTCGTTCCAAGCCGCCAAATGCGCTTTTCGAAACTGAGTTCTATCTGGGAATTCAACAATTGCAACGGCGTGCTGAATCAACTCATCATCAAGATCAGCAGCGACCAGATTGCGCAAGATCTCGGCCTTGACTGAAAGGTATACTCGAAGGAGCGTAGGCGAAGCAGAGATGAGGGCGGCCATGGACTCTTTGGTACGAACGGACAAGAGGATTTCCAGACGAATTTCCATCGGCAACTCGTTGAAGGGATCCATTTTGTTGATTAAATGCTGGAAACATTAGCCGATTCTCAAAGTAGAATTGAAGTGGCAGTGGCTTACCAGGGAAAGCGTGCAGAGGTCGAGAAATGAAGATTTGCAAGTTCTCATTATCGAGTGACGATTGAGTGCGGTCTGTTTGCTTAGGTAAGGTAGTGAAGGTGGGGACTAAAGCTTAACAGTGCCAGCTTTATCACTCCCGCCCCACGCCTTAACTTTGCAGAAATTCTTACTTGGAATTAATCTTACTTAAGATGCTACATGTATGTTCAGACCCAGGGTTCATCTCTGTGTCTAGTGCTTCTTCAAGGATACAAATGTCCGACCAGTTCTAGTGGCCGAATGCCTATCTACAGCCCGTAGCTCCAGAGGGTCACCCGCTGTAAGCCTCTCAATGCTCACTGCTTGTGCCGAGTCCGGCTTGCCTTGTTGTGTTCGGTTTTGTTCAAGCCTCAGAAGGTCACCCTGGACAGTGCTCCTAGATGACATGTATGCATCAAGTAGTGGAAGTTGAATCCTTCAACGTGTTTAGATGCGTTGATGCTCAAATTAACAGTCATTCGTCTATGCATGCTAAAGTGGCATTGAAACATCCCAAACATTGTTTTTGAATTGATATGCCATAAACGTGCAAGGTAGAGGATCAAGGGGAAAGGAGTTGTCTTGCGCCGTGATAAAACTAAGGTTACCAATTCGCTACATGTTACGGTTCTCGTTGCAATGTTATGAAAGCCTGGTATAACGGAGGCTTGAGCCTGTCTTTTTTTCTTTCTTTTTTAGGCGAGGCTATGAGTACTTGCCGTGCAAACACTGTAACCTGATTTTTGCAGTTCGTACAAGCTCTCCCTCCAGTATACGATCCGTCTCTCAGTAAGGCAACAGACTTTTAACCAATATTAGATAGTATAGCTTTCGATAAGGTGAGCTAAATGGTCTGCCTCGTTAATGCTAGACCAATAACTCAACCCTCACGTATCACCAACTAACCTTCCACCGCTCCTTAACAGGATCGACTATAATTAAAAGAACGGTTTAACGTAAAAGACAATCAATTAAAGCAAGAATTCGAATTCGCAATCCATCCTAGTAACCTTATCCCTCATAATATAAAGACAAGCTTGATAATCTTTTCATAAGAAATAACTCCATCCAGATCGCAGGTCATCTACAACTCAGATGCGGAGACCACAGATGCCAATTTAACTTCCCCTCCATGACTTGCTGCTGAGTCATCCGCTATTACACGTCCATCCCCAGAGAGCGGGAGGCGGCGAGCTGCCTAGGTGAATACACACGCCCTGTATTCATGTGGACTTCTCGTGGCGATTGGTGAATAAGGAGACACAGGTCCTCTGTCGACGTTGTTTCAACTGAGCTGAACATTGATTCTGAACGAGTGCGCCGCATTTCTCATGCAAACTTGCTCCAGACGCGATTTACTCAGGTTCTGACAGAGAGGTTTCCGTGTATCTTTCTCTAATCTCAGGGAATATGTCCTCACCGAGTAGGTGTCGTGTAGGCCTTGTCCGACAAACACGGGATCGGCCGATGCGGTTGTCAGGGGCGCCGTGGCGAAGGGACCGATCCTGGAGATTATTGGGACGGATAGACATTGTGAGGAAAGAGTATAGAGGAGATGAAAAGTAAAAGCGGTCGTTTTTGGATGGCTTTGGACTTTGCTGCGAGATTTTCCAGTGATGAATAGGAGGCGTTGAGACGTGGTGTGCGCGATCCAGTGTGGGCAGTTTATGAGCAGCCCGAACATTGCTTGTGATCGTGTAAAAATGAGTTGACAGACCAGTCGACTGATGCTCAAACTACGAGCGGTGCGCTGCGGAGGTAGAGTCAGGTGCCTTTCAATCAATGCGACCTTCGAAATGAGGCGATAAATGGTCTCCTGATATGCGAGATAGGGATCAGCGATTCACCCAATGCGTCTGGATATCGATCTCAAGTACAGATGTAATCTGAACGGATGCAGCTGGAGCCAAGGGGTAAGATGTCAGCGGAATGAGTGAATGGAAGGATTGCAGGAAAGATACCGTGGATAACCTACGCTATGGACTCTTGGCGGGTATCGGTTGAGGGGCTTATTGATCGTAGTCCTGGAAGCTGTGATTGTTCATTGCTGGCTCTGTGGTGACATGGCGTACCCACGGTCTGGCCCGTCGGCTGAATCTTTTCGGTTCGGTAGAGACACTATCCCGGGGCTTCTTGTCTTTTCATCCTTTGTTGATATCTAAAAGATGGCGGGGATTGCCGCTCTGGTCGAGCTTCAGAGTGAAGGCATTCATAACGCGGGGGCCTTTGAGAACTAGGCACTGTTAGTCTTCGCCTTCAGGGCAGCTCGGATGGTTCTTTCACCAATGAGAATTATGGCCTTGACAACAGGGCCGTCTTTTTCACTGTTCTCGTGGCAATGATAGGAAGAGGCTACGCGTATCGTGAATTTGGGGATCGCCCGACGGTTTGGAACATCAAGCAACCGCTGCTCAATCGGTGATATTGGCGATGCACTTGGGGCTGCATTCCACCAAGGGTAAACCGACGCCGCGCCGGTCCAGTAGTCAGATCATCTTCCCATATATGCGAGACGTCACGTCAAACAGGTGGCTGGATACTGTCAAATAGGAATGAGGCACAGAAGTAGTCACCCAACAGTGAGTGTCGTGCTGTTCCGTCGCCTACTGAGGTAGGATCCAAACGCAGATTTCTTTCACGATTCGTATGAAAGAGATCTTGCAACTGAAGATGGCGTCCGCGCCATGGTTCCGAAGAATCGTCGCGCTATTCAGGATCTCACTTCGGGGAAAATCTCTCGAGATGAAGAGAGTCACCTATGACAGTCGTATCGGCATGGACTGTGTTGATTGATCGTGATGACTCCTGAATAAGGCAGGGCGCACACCTCGATGAAAGTCTGACTGCTCTGAGGTGTGATCTTCGGTTGGGAACCGTTGTCCTCAAAGCGAATGCAACTTGATGAAGGACACGAGGGTTTAGCGCAAGGAGAAGAGGACTTGGTTCGGGTAGCCGGCGTTGCTGTGATCAATCTCATGCCCCGTATCGCCTTGGGGAGAGTGGTCGGGCTAACCCCACGATCTGATGCCAAAAGCATATCTCCAAGCAAAGAATCTGCGTATAAGCCCTGTCTTCCTTTGGATCACATCTTCGTGAGCTGCGGCTGTGGCGAGGTGGCAATGGTAGTACTGTATTCGATGTCAACCTACCTATGGCCTCACAGGCCGACCAGAGTTCTGCAAACACATCCAAGTCTGCAATGAGGTTTTGCAAGTTAGTAGCCCAATTGTCGAGCTCATCATTTTGAGTTGGCTTGGCGCCTGTCATCCATCGATGCAAGGAGGAACGACGTTGGATGCGGAACACTCGACACTTGTATCAAGAGATTCAAGCGCTGGCCGGTGGATGGGGGAGGCAGTGCATGAGTGAGCGTGGGGGATTGAGAGGCGGAGCGAGACGCGTGAATCGGAAGACGATGAATGACCAGTGCCAATGACTGAGAAGCCTCATGGCATTGGTTTTCATTCTACTTGAGAACGGAAAGACAGGATTGGTCCAGTTGGTTGGAGTGGCTCCTATGGCATCATCAGAGTGCCCTCGCTGCTCCAGACTCGGCGGTACCTGAGTGAGCGCGATCCCTCCAAAGCTCAAATTCCCAAGTTGAACATATCGCCAAGGTTTGATGGAATCCAGAACAAATTACTCAAAGTGACGTGACAGACACCTCATGATGATGCAAGGAAAGATCAGTTCGAAGGGTTTGTGTGGATCGGCTGGGCAGAAGCTGATACAGGAGGGGCCGATAGGTGTCGGGAATATCAGACTCTATTCGCGGCACCCTAGATAACTGCAGGCAGCTTAATAAGACTCCAATTCACAGACTATTCGCGGCAGGGTTGATTTCTCCTGTGATCGGTCCAATCTGGCGATCGAGCTTCATGCCATCGTTGGGGAGTCTCGTTGACGTAGAGTGAGGAACGGTTCGGCTGAAAGCTGGTTTGGCAGGGATCGCATCAGGGGGCTTCGACAAAGGCCTCGAGAACACGGATAGGATTGTCATCAGCAAGGGGTCAAAGGCACGGCTGGGGGGCTAGCTCGATATCCAAAACTCCAACTTTCTTATTCGATGAGTCTGGACAAACGCAGTGAATGGTCTGGTTTGCGAGCCGTCTTAGGTCATGACTTTGCTTTGTTGACAATACGGTCGCTTTCGGGAGGACAAAGGAGTTGCGGAACTCAGGTTTGAGCAGAGGTTGTTGTATCCCATTGGCCGTTTGCGGTTTCGTCGCCGAAGAGTGAAACTGAGGTGGGCGATGGCGATGGTGGAGAAATAGAGTCGGCCTAAGCGTGGAGTGAAACATTCGCAGGTGAAAAACGAGTGAATTGACCTTGGACTCATGTCTGACGCAATCGGCCGTCGCGCCTCTTTGTGTTACCTAAGTAGATTTCAAACTGAGCGTAGCAGCCGATGTTGTACCGATGTGAAAGAGAAGACTGAAAGCTGGCGAAGGGTAGACATGGGCAGTGAGGTTTGCGAATTTGGTCGAGCGCGATGTATCAAACTGCGACGAGGCTTCTGTCCCGGTGGTGATGATCCGAGCGATCAAGATGAAGCCGACCGTAAGCAAGGCTTTTCGGAGTGTGCGTGCAGCTTATAGGAAGGGATGTCGTCGGTCGCGATTTGCAACTCAGTGGCATTTGTCGGATGTTGGAGCGCCATGGCTAACGCCATCTCAAGGTGTTTGGTAGGTAAGCCGTCTCGGTGCTCGGCTAGCAACATATGGAGGCGATGACTGCTGAATGTAATTGAGCTTTCGTACATGGGTCTGTCGGCCTTGGATTGCTTCTGTTGCGATCCATGATGGGCCCGCGTGGTCGGCTCGATCTTCGCTCATGTATACAGACATCGTCTTTGGTTTGTCCATGCCGTGGTCGATGCAGTAGCCCACGTTTGTGCTGGAGATGAGAAGGGCATGGTAAACCTGTCAGTCGTCAGTTGAACACACGACAAGTTTCATTCTTCAACACACCTCCAAGGATTGCGCGTAGTCTGTATGCCGTCAAGCGTTGCACAACCCGTGTCGCAGGTTGCCTCCAACTCATCGTAGCTTCAACCTTGGATGTCTGGATTTCGATTCGGGTCCAGCTTGTTCTCTTTTCTGGTGGCTGTCTCTCTTCATTGCAAGGATTTCGTGACCTGCGCCTTGAGCTTAGAATGAGTCACTTGCGTCGGCAGTTGACGGGCTTGATTTGTACTGCCCTGGGCGTGGGAGAGAGACTGCCAATGTCTCGGGTCATCAGGGTCGGAACAACAAGGGGATCCTGAGTTCGATTGAGGTCGGGGTGTGCCTAATGTGTTGTTAGCATGTTTGTGATTGCGATTCGCAGGACAAGTTTACATACCTGAATGTTTGTCGAGTGAATTCTTTTGAAATTCCCTATGCAGCAAGCGACTTTGTCGACATTTCGTAGACAAATCTTCCTTCCATCGTAGGTCTCTCAACATAGGATATAGTGTACAAGGGTTATTGAAAGACTGAATGCACCCAGCGACAAATGTTTCCGTATCTCTCAGTATCAAGAGTGCGACGCGTCAAAACAAATTGTGGGCCCGTTGACCAATCTGAGTTAGTGGGGACACACGACGACGCGGGGTACCTAGGTACCTAGGTAGGAGCAGGCACAAATCTTGGGTCGTGGTCGATGTACGATGGCTCTGGACAGTCTTTATAGTTGTCTTTATTGGAAGACTTTAATTGAGATATTTAATATAACTTGCCCCGGCGTGACCATGATTTTGGCGGCTTAAGGGTGAAGATTACCACGCAGTACTTGGATTTTGAGTGTCCGGCTCCGCTGTTGAAGAATTACAATTTGGCCTGTTGATTGTGGCACATGGCTTGGCTTGTCAAGACTTCCAGGTTACCAATGCCTATTGATGTAACCGGATATTTTTGCTTTGGCCAAGTGAATCAACTGTCCAGTAGTTACATCCTTTTCGCCCCTCCCCCAGACGAGACGATGGGAGAATCCGAAGCACCTATGGAAGACAACGAGTAAGCCGATGTTGACGGCATGATATGGAAGATCAAGACATTGGGATGCTAGATGAGCCAAGGAGTAGCGGACAAAGAGTTCATGTCTCTTGCTCATTGTATGCTCGCAATTTGAAGTGCCAAATAGAAGTGAACAAAGAAGCGTCTTGTCCGCTGAGCATTTGCCAAAGCGCGTGGTGAATCTTGAATGATTGGTAGTGGAAGAAGTAGGTATGAGGCGTAAACCCAATTTCTATGTGGTACATTTCAATCCTTCGAGACAGGCCTCAGATTCATGAAAACACCTAATTCAATGGATAGACATTATACCAGAATCAACACGAATATGGACGGTATTGAATGACTTCAAACCTACAGGCCTTTGGTAATTGAAAGTATTTCAATGCGAGGCACCAATCTATTAACAATTCACTGTCTACCCCCTAGAACCGTTGCCTCCAGTTGCCGCACGCAGATTTCAAGAGGAAGAATCAAGAGTGCTCGAAAGGTAGGTGAGCCAATTGAAGGCCCGGCGGATGACGACTGGCTTCCTGGAATCGTAGAGCCAGATATCACGAACGATAGCCAGACGTCTCTTGCGTTCGACCAGGTCGGCGTCATTGCTCAGAATCAGGGCGTCAAGCTCCTGTTCCGCCTCTCCGCAAGGTTTGTCGGTAATCTGTCGAACCATCGGGGACCATTTCCGAATGGTCTCACGTCTTGCGCGGGCCTGAGCGGCGAATTGTTGAGGCGCTTCAAGGGATTCTTGCCACAAAGCCTCAGCTTCCTGGTGAAGCGGTCTCCTCTCGACGGAGTAACTGGTGACGTGCATCACCCGCAGATAAGAGGCCAGGCTCATTGTCCCGCCCGCAACCACTTCACAGAACCAAGCGACGACATCACACCATAGTGTGAGTAGGTTGCGCTGGACCTGCGGCCGTGCTAGACCTGCCTCATCTTTGGAGCCGACGACAAGACCAAGAGGGACGACAAGGCCGAGCGACGCAGCGCCGTAGATCTCCCATGAGATGACCAGACCTGGCTCCACGATATTGTTGTTGATTTTGTCGATGTCGCTTCCATTATCTCCAAGAATAAGCCTCCCAGAGTCCACCCACACAGGTAGATTAAGGGCAAAAGGACCGCGAATAAAGCCAGTGTGCTGGCTGGCGCCAAAGTACTCTTTCCAGATAGTCTCCCGTAAAGCTTGGTCGACGACCACGGGGGGATTGATCCAAAGATCACTCGAGCTGTCTCTCTGTTGCTGAGGGGTGGCGACGGGCAAATTATTCTCAATTCGCCATTGCTTGTAGAATTCCGACATGCCGCCGCTCATATCTTTATCGTCAGGCCCTGGCTTCCAAGGCCAAGCAGGAGCCGGACGGATGCCGTGGCATTTAACTATAAGAAGGTTATCATCTGTAAATTTCATGGAGGTCAAGTAACCTACAGAGGTTCTGCCACAGCGTCTTATCCACTACATACTCAAAATACACGGAAGGGACCTCCAGCAAGCCACGATCTCGGTGGTATTTCTGGCAGATGAGAGCGTACGAATCCTTGCGCTCCTCCTCAATCAGAGGGACCAAGGCAGGATGAAAGCGCTGGATATATTGGTCAATATACCCACGACGCTCATCCATGCTCTCGGGTCTCGGCACGTTAGCCGGGTCGAAGGTGTCTCGCTGCGAAGTCATTTTCTCAGCGGTAGGATTGTTGGTAAAAGCTGGTAAACAGATGATAAGAGTAAGAGAAGTGCGTGAGGGACAGAGCGCAAGAGCGAAAGGTAAGATTCGGCTGTCGTTATGCTGAAAACTGGTTCTACCGCACCGGGACGGCTTCTCTGCATCAGTTGGCCGCTGGGAGCAAGTCTCATGTCACGTGAGAGAGTTTACCTGTGCCTGTTGAGCAGGTGGAGCGGGAACAGATTTTCGAGAACAGGGGGGCTGTTCTCGACTCGCCAGGCTCGAAACGTGAGGGAGCTGCCCTCGCCCCAAGGATTGCGATCGATGAATCATAGTTCTAGAACGCCTTCGATGCTTTCTTTGACTTATTTGCTCGTGGCTCACTCTTCAAGGATACCTGTTTGTCGAGCTACTGCCCGGTCAGCAAGCAAAGTCACTAAGGTAGCAACCACTACATTCTGACTGACCCCACTACACAGCTCCCGCGATCAAACTGGATCCGCTCCAGGGGAGCAGCCGCTAAACGCCCACTAAATCCACTGTAAGCCATTCGTTCATGGGAAAACCTTGCCGCGAATCAAAGACACAGATTCCACGACTGACGCGACCGTCAACGCCCCAGGGCTGTTCCGAACACCACATGAGACTCCGACTTCAGTCAATCCTGAACACTCCCGCAGGATCAGTCATTTCTCGAACCATATATTCGCCCTTGCAGTTAACTTCAAATCTCTGCATACCTGTTAACGTTGCGCTTAGTATCTCATAGTCGTTCCGCAATAGCGTGCAGTTCGACACACAACGTGACCGGAAATCTTGAGCATCACAACCAACCGTAAGTCACTGGAGGCATGGAATACTAATTAATCACGACCAGCAGCTTTTAGGCCTTCCATGCCAAGAACCGTCGCTCAGTAATCCCTGGAAACGCCAGAGGTCAATCGCGCAAGCGTTCCGACGCCACGGAGTCATTGCGGAGACAGGGAGTATTCGCGGGGCACCGGGATCAGGGGCTGCTAAAGACGTATGGATGTCACTTTATTTCCCAATGCGGACAGCACATGGGTAACCATTGGTCGAATTTTAAGCATAAACGTTTCCCCCCATGATCGAGCAAAGGAAGGTGTTCCAGGTGACTTGCCACTTTGATGTGAACAGCTTTCGAGATCATCGCTAGGTTTGACGTCTGGAGAAGCAGGGTTTGGCGTTGGATCCAGACTGGCTGAGGTTCTATTCTCTTCCAGCATCCAATAAGCATGTGCGCTATCTAGTTAGGTGCTAAAATATCAAGGCTTTGTACTATACGCTAATCGGGGCGTTCAGGAGGTTACAGATCAGGGATGTTCACTTACAAGGCAAGAATCAGACCCGTAGACAGTTTATTTTCTAGCCTTTCAGCGATATATTAATGCGTTTGCCTCTTGTCAGTTTTTTTTATATTAACTCGTAGGGTTTAGCTAGTCGGCTATGTCTCTGTTCAAGTCTCCTTCTTTGGATACTGCATGCTCGCTACGGTGAACTTGCCACAACACAGTTTGCTGCCGTTGGAGCAAATACATGGAATATTGGACTGGTAATAGGCAATTGCTCCCCACCTAGGACCTCTAGTGGACTTAGTGGGCAATTGGGGCATCTTGGCTTCGATTGCCTTCACTGGTCTTGTGCGACTTAGTGACCTCAAATGGACTTCACTGGATCTGGGAAGACTTTCAGTGGGCGCGATAAAGGCTTATGTAATACGCGTGGAGAGAGAAATCAGCCATGGGGTCTATCAACTCGAAATAACACCCTTACAGAGTCATTTCACACCATATACAACCTACACACAAGATTCTGAGCGATTAAGGTTCAGTGGCTGTTAGTGATTTCAGATGGCAACAAAGACAATGATCGAGCAAACCTTCTTGGTAGACTGTCAGTAGGTAACAGTGGGTGACTTTACTCTGTGGCGAACGTGACACAACAAATGGTCACGCTACCTCTGCTCCCCAGGACGCTCTCTGCTACTGACTCCAAAGCCTGGTCAAGTGAGGGCAGGTGGCGGCTCTCTCCTCAGCCCCTCGCCCCACTCACACCTCGCTCAGAGCTATCTTCCATGGAACAGCAGGGGTGTGTCAGTGAGTGCCAGTGGAAGTTCAGTGGCTCTAGGCGGCTCAAACGTAACGGTGTGCTAAATCTTTTCGTGAGGTTGGTAACACTGAGCAAGGCGAAGGCGCCACGAAGACAGCACCTATAAATAGGCAGTCGTTGGACTAGCTCTACTGTATCTACCGTGTTCCCGACGTTTCAACCCCATCCGCCCAGAGTTACCGTCCCGTTCGCTTACTCTCGATCTCCACCCCATAACACCTTACCCCACTAAAACCTGCCACCAGTAAAGAGCTCCAGTCTTTCTGAACATCGAAGATCCTCTAACTCTCATCTGTTTACGACACAGAAAGGCACCGTCGCACACCATCAATATGGCTCCCAGCCAAGATCCCCCTTTCGATCACTCCAAGGTCGACTTTACCAAAATCGGCCCACGACGTCTCCACATGGAAGCATTTTTCCGGCACCTTGGTCTCTGGCATCCAGACGAGGTGGAAGAGCTTCGCGTATTGATTGAGCCAGAAATCTGTAGCAGGCTACAGCAGAAGGGTCTTCGTCAAGTTGGCTATGCTTTCTTTGAGTATTATGTTGACAAAAAGCTCTGGTATAATATCCGTAAGTTGATAGTTCTTACAAGGCGTTGATGGTCGCATTGCTAACTCTGGAATAGTTGGCCACCACAACGTTCCGTTTGAAGATCAACCGTGGCCTTCGCTAAAGAGCATCATGCCTCCCTACAGTGACCTTTCTGAGGGTGTTTCTTGATTCTACCAGGAATGGCTACTTGGATGCAAAGCTTCCAATAATCGGCCAGCAACCTCTGAACGTACGTTTTCCTTGTCATACACTAAACACTTTAACTAACCATACCCGCACTTATTAGTCATTCTTACGCACCTTGAGCGCTTGACTAGTGAGGTTCAGGCTCTCAGAGAGGAAGTGGCAGGCCTCAAGGAGCAGGAGAGACGAAATTGAGCATCTGGAAAGCGAACTGGGTATTGGCGCGAACTGTAAGGGCAGTGAATTGTCTTCCTGGATGTCCTGTATGCTTAGTAGTAACTAGCCCTGCACGAAGGATCATGCGATTAATTGCGCATCCTTATACTTGGAATCTCGTGTCCAATCGAAGATCAAGCGAAAGTGAAGTTGCACAAGAGTCATGGTCTGTCTACAGATTCGACATTATGATTGAACATGTTGAACTATTCAGTTCCTATCCTCAACTCGATTCATTTTAGTTGTTGAGATCTTGCTTTATCGTGATCCTGACTTTGCGAGCAAGGCTTATGAAATTGGCATAGTGCCTTTACCCGTTTAGCGGAATCTGCAGGATACGATGACTGAGGTATAAGAACTCGAATCATATAGCGCGATAGTGGTAATAGTCTGTCTTGGCTACAGTTCCTTGGGCATGATTCTCTGGATAAAGCGGTGTGGATTCTTCTTTTGCAAACTGACTGTTACATAACCATGCTATAGAATTGTGTATAATCCACCATTCACTTACAAGAAGCAAAGCGATTTGAGATTTATAATAGCCATTGAACCTCTCTAAACCCCATCCCAACTACCTTCAGTTACTATATAGGATACGCTTCAGGGGCTCGACCTCAACTTGTTGCCGTCTCCTCCTCCTCAAGGACGCCATCATAAGTGATCAATCGGTTGACTTCTGTAGATGTGGCTGATTGATGAAAGCAAGGTTAGTGAAAGAGTAATGTGAGTATGGAGGACATCATACTCTGATGGTTTGTTAGAGACCGTGTTTTCTCGGCGGTGACTGGATCTCAAGACGATTCGCGGGCGGCCCTTGCAGCGGCAGCGCGCTAAGCTGGCTGCTCGGCAAAAGGAATCGATGGGTCTAACCTGACCACAGCATTCTTGGTTACGGCGGAAGGCTTGTCAGCGGCATGTTGACCATGGGATCTAGGCACGGTTGTATCCGTGGCAGAGACCTCTGACTTGCGCTTTTTTGAGGACTCTCCCTGTGACTTCAAAAAAGACTTGTCTCGACGGACCCAACCCTGATAGAACCGAGAGACACCTCGGGATAGGTCCTTTGGAGAAGGCCAGGTGCTCCGCTCAACAGGCCAAGGGTGGTCGTCATATGGTACTTTGGCATTGCTGACTAGAATGTGGTCAGTAAATTGTGAGTGAAAGGCTGGGAAGGCTGAACTTACGAATATTGCACCAGACACCGTAGTCGATCAGGTACTCGAAGTATACATGGCCAACTTCGAGATGGCCTTCGTGTTGAAGTCTATTACAATACTTCTCCTCATTTGCTTCGCGACTCGCCTTGACCCATTCTGCGTTCCATAACCCGAGGGCCTGGAAATATCGCTCCATGTGGACGCGGCGAGGGCCAACTTTGTTGAAGTCAGACGACGAGTGATCGAAAATGGGAAGTTCTTGTTTAGTATCCATTGCCAAGAATTTGGATTCGTTGTTGGAAGAGGAAAATGAGAAAAAAAGCTTCGTAGTCTTGGGAGATGTCAAGGTCCAGCGGGTGTCGCTTGGTCGTTGTTTTTGGAGTGGGGTAGGAAATTGGGTCCATCGGTTGGCTTCCGACCTTTCATCCACTGAAAAAAGCACTAGCCTGCCCGTTCAGCATGTAGTCTCCCTAACAATCACTAAATTTTCACTGATACCCCACTCACAGTTTCATGGGAGGCAGCTCCCGCGATTAAACAGAATCCGCTCCAGGGGTAGCAGCCGCTAAAAATCCACTAAATCCACTTAATGTCATCGTTGGAGAAAACCCTACCGCGACCTGACTTGATATTACGTTCGGTTTTTTTATGGCGCCCTTGAGGTGAATGTTCACGGTGGGATCCCGTTACTGTGCTTTCCTTGATGGGCTACCGATTGGCGACGACTAAGGAGTCAGTTGTCAACCATCTATTCAAGTGCTTTTGTGAAGAATAAGCATCTGATCCTACCCTAAAACCGTGTCCTCCAGACAAGTCAAGCCATATCGAAACAAGATATCTGCAGTTATTGGTGAGTTTCAAGTGTAAATTCGTATCCATAAGCTTCGAGTCCATACTCTGAACCAGCTGTGTCAGGGCCAAGTCATAATATCCTTCATTCTCCCTCAGAGACCTTCAGATGTGTACCATCGATGGCGGCGCTCCAATTGCCTTCGAGTTTCCTCTCTCTTAGACGATGGAACCGAGGCTCTCGCCCAAGATGATGTTCAGCACTTGGATCAGAAGGTTGCTGAGCAAGCGAGTGAGATTGAAGATCTCCAAAAGAAGATCAAAACTCTACAGGAACACACAGACGCTCTCAGAATTCGGGTTGATGGTTTCACGAACATCTAGCCAAGGCTGACAGGTTGGGGGTGAGGTGTCTACTTGGGAAGGTTCAGGACAGTGTAGTCCACATTGCTAACCTCACCTGGAGGAATAAATCAACACTATCAAAGCCATTCAACTGCCACTGTGCGACCATGCCGTCTTGAATAAGAGGTACCAAACCATGCAAAGATTGGCTGCAGATAAGTGACCCAATCAACAGTTTGCAGCAGCCGTTGGATGTTGCCCAGATGCTCAGGTCACATCTGCCAAGTCTTTCATTCATTTGGTCCAGCCAGAATCTGATGTGATTTTGGTCTTGAAAGCTAAGAATTTGTTGACCGATTGGATAACTTAAAGATGATAAAGTACAATATTCCTGGCTCACGCTGTCTTTGTTGTGACTATAGAGAAATTCTCAACAGTATCTAGAACCACCGTAGCATCATCTACAACAGGTGATGGCGGCGGAGCACCCCTTTGAGACGCTCGATCACATCGCATTTGTACTGAACCTCGGCTTCCTGTAACTCCTTCTCCGTCTGCATCACCTGGTTTTCATCTTTCAGGTTCTGTATTTCCAACTCCATCTGAGCTTTTTCAGCTCTCAACTTCTGTGCCTCCAAAACCAACGCCGCGTTCTCAGTCTCCAACTTCTGCTTTTCGTCGAGTATAGCACGGTTCTTTTGAACCTCGCGGTCCTTCTCGGCTTTTAACGCCTGAACTGAACGTTCCAGAGCTCTGATGCTCGTGGCGGCTGGTCTAGAATGGATCGCAGCCAAGGATTGAGAGCGTGGAGGCGGAGGCGGTTCCTGCGGCCTAAAGCTGTGAGTAAACTTGAAACTGATGGTGTGTGCTAACTTACCCGCCGCTACGACGCCGGAGCTCAGAATCTGTTGCTCTGATGCGCGACTTCATAGTGAGTTCTCAGTAGTTCAAAGACGAAAGGACGGGAGATTCGGAGAAAGTCCTAAAGCGCTCGATGTGTAAGACGAAGAGCTGAGGCATGAGGCAAACGCGGGCCGCGTGCTGAGTTCATCCTTACGCACGGTCCAAGACAACGTTTAAAGTAATCCACCAAGGTCTGAGCTCATCGGACACGTCTTTGTCTATATGGACGGTAACAAGCCTACTGTGGTTCTGTAAGCCCGAGTTCGAAATCTGTGGCACCTTACTCAACAGCCTATATTAACTGGTATCCCACCACTACCATCTTCACCTTCGACCTTTCAATGTAAGCTTCAGCCATGGCCATGTTGAGACAAGGCATGAGTAGTGATTGATGGCCTTCACCCCCATGAGCCTGAGTCAATCCTCATACCCAGCTCTGTGAAGGCGAAGTTACCATTGTGTCAAATGCTTGGGCTGAACAACATAATTGACAACCACGACGCAGATATTCCCGTCTTAGACAGAATATCAGTACTAATTAAGTGATGAAAAAAGGCGTCATGTTACGCTCCCTCATACGTATTATGTGGGATGTCCTCGGTGCCGGTAAGTTGCCCCTTCAAAGAGAGCATTTTGAGCATGTCAGTGGAGTACAGAACATTTTACAGTATTAAAGTAAAGCATGGCTAATGCGCATGGCCTCCAAAGAGGCTTCCGAGTCTATCATACAATTGAACGCCAAACATAAGATCAATCCATCCGCCTACCAGGCGTCTTGTCGCATCTCCCCCACACCCGAATTCGTCCAGCGAAACATCATAACATCCAAACATATACCAAATGAACAGTTCAGACTTATAAGGTCGAAAAACAAAACTCTATTGGATTTTCGATGTCCAGGCTTTCTTCTTCCTTCATGACATCCATGTAAAAGCCAAGGACAAGTTCAATCTCGGCCAGTGTTTTGCCCTCGAAGAGTTTGAACGACGCCGGAATACGAACGGACCGCGGAGGCTGCCGGCAGACAATGGTGGTCCAGGGTAGTGTATATCGTACGCACTTAACCATAGTTGCTAGATCGCAGAGTGTATGCTCCTCCGTCATTCTTTTGGCCTGTTCACGGAGCACCTTGGGATCCTCGAATGTCGGCAAACAAATGTACTCTCGTGGCATGTAAGGCGCTGTGGCCTTGCTGCAGTAATCCTGGATGAAATGGAGCAGCATATTATGAAGCGAGTCCAGCTGTTGGAACAAATAGTCGTCATGCTTGGCTAGAGGACTGGCAAAGGTCTTGTCTTGCCAGCGTTGCAAGTGATCACGAACAAGCAGCAAGTTTTGTGCTTGAACGTGTAGAGGTCTCGGAAACTGGATGATCGCTAGGGCATCTTAAAGCATTTCTTCATCAAGGTCGATGGAGATGAGGTTCGTTCGGACTTTGATTCGCTGTATCTGGTACTGTTGCAGCATTGTCGGCGATGCGCGGATGATGGAGTTAAGGGAGAACTTGGAGGTGATAGAAAAAAGGATCTTAAGACGGATCTCTGGGGGCAGGGAGTTAAACGGATCCATAGTGCTGCGTCAAAGGTTAGCAAGCTTGGATTAAAAAAGTGAGTTTTTATGCTCTACCAGGCCCGAGATAACTGCAGTGATGAAGTTGGAGTTTTTTTGGAGGTTGGTGAAAAATGGGAGTTGTTGTGATGGACAATCGGCTTCGTTGGTGGGTTAGCGCTGTCGTTGCAGTGGCAGCGGTAGCTAAGGTAGATGAAGCACTGTATCACCAAACAGTTAAAGCGATTCACGAGCCCCCATTGGCTGATCAACTAGCCATGCACTGACCATCCACTGACCATCCACTGACTGTCCAGGTAGGCCTGACTACCTACCTAGGTAACTTGACCAACTCGGTGTGTGTATTGCCTAAAGCTAAATTTCTTCCGCACGCAACATTTCTGCTCCACACGACACAGATCAACGCATTACTCTGAATACCCTCGACACAAAACACTTGCTTCCCGAACCAGACGACCATCTCAAACCTTTTACAATGTCTTTCTCTACTCCGCCCACTTTCGATCACTCTAAAATTGGTGTTTGCGATGTTGCTGCCCGCCGCGCCCATATGAAGGCATTCTTTCTTCACCTTGGCCTTTGGGATGAAGAGAAGGTGAAGACTTATCGCCAGTTCAGTGAAGAGCAAGCTTGTAATCTGGTCCATGTCGCAGGGCATATCCAAGTTAATCAAGTTTTCTTTGAATTTCTTGTTGACCAAATTCTTTGGCACAACATACTCAGATGGGCAACGCGCTTGGCCAAGGCCATGACTGGCCTTGGAGGAACGATGGTCTCCCTGACAAGATGGACGTCACCACTGCCGGCGCCTCTCAGTTCTACCGAGAGTGGCTGCATCGCAATTTTGGGGTATGTGCCGAGGTCCAGCAAATCATTGCGACTGGGCAGATCCTGAACCTCAACGGCCTCCACTCGTATCGCGACTACATACCCGCAGACATTCATGTCGAATGTCTCTTCAGCGGGGTCTCCGCGCGATTCCCCCATCATCGTATCCACACTCTCGACATCCCAGAGGTACAACGCTATGTTGTTGCCACTTTGGAGGGCGCGTTCCCGTCGCGTACAAAATTCTACACCAATGACGAGATTCTTCTGCGAACTAAGTATAAGATTGTCCGATAGGACTAAAGTACCATGGAGAATTAGCAGGAGCAAGGAGGCCCAGGAACACTACACCATCCGTCGCCTTCGACAACGTCCAAAAAAGAAGTACGGCACTGCGTAGTCTTAGACAGCACCGGTCTGGTTGCCACAACGAGACGGGGGGGTAACATGGGACTGAGCGTTGGGATGATATGGATGGATGTTGAACGGATGAGTGAGGCTTATTGTGTGATGGTGATGGACAAGTTTGAGGGATTCATGGCAATGGGACAGAAATAAAGATCGAGGTTACTACATCTGACCAAACAACCATTCCATTGCATCCGTGACCAAGGCTGACGAACGTGTATGACGAAACGTTTGAGAGGACTCCGCTATTTGGATGCAAGATTGGTAACTGTCGTAATGAAAATGCTACTGCAGGTATCTACTGATTCAAGCTCTCACACACTCTCTCAAATACAATTAACACATATTGCTCATCGTATGGACTTAAGCTGTCACTTCAATTCAGAAATTACGCTGTCCTAACGATTTTCAGACTGTCTTGTCAACGGAAAATGCGTTGATGTTATGGAAGGCAATTCCCATCTTACGAAACAGTGCACAGTTTTGAGTACTAATGTGAAGGAATTGCTGAGTGAATTGCAATTGAACCCACGCTATTCAGTTTGCCGAACCATATACTCCCAGGCCTGCTCGGCTGAGATGTTGCGGCGACAATGACTCATTTGACCTGCAAGTCGAGGTCATGATGCCGCTCTCGAGTAAGTCATGGTGGAATAATTCACCGAAAGCTCAGCCAAACGAGGTACCAAGTGTGCCAGCTTCGTGAAAACGCGGCGCATCGCTCGAAGAAGTCAAAGCTACCCTTGTGGTTGTGGATGGCCAGTCTTATGACCAGGCTTCTCACCATGCATCAGATGCATTGGAGTTGATGTGTTTGTTCGGGGGGGATTGCCTTTGGGAGTCGGACTGATGTGGTTTCTACACGATTGACATCCGTGACGAATGATTGCATGCGACGAAAGCACAAACTTTAAGAGCAGCAGATTGCCCGCGATTGTCCAGAGAACTCGGTATCGCGACGATGTACCTTAATTGACGTTCTTGTCGATATCATGTTGCAGGTGAAGATTGTTGATAAAAGGTTGCGAGCTTTGGGAACGCGCTGCGCGAATGGGTGAAGATGCCGAACTGGGATACCTAACTAAGAGAGGTTAGTGAAAAGTTGGGACGTTTGGAGACTGTGGTTGGGCGACGACTGAGGATACTCAAGGCGATGAACAGACAGGGAAGGTCAGCTATCAACGGACTGGCTACATCCTGTCACTCGACTGCAGTCGTGCCGGAGAAAGACAAAGACGAGATGTGGAGGTTGCGGGCGATGGAAAAGGGGCGTAGTGGATACATGGCGGCCAATGATGCATCGAAAGATCCTCATCGCTGACTTCCATGCTCGTGCTGTGGAGGGTATAGCGGCGGCTTATCTTGACGGTGGATGTCTTGCAAGGTCGGGTTCAATCTTGGAGGTTTTGACCGTAGGTGTTATGGGCTGAATGGAATGAGGCTCAATGTCCGGTTGCTCGTCCAAGGGATGTACACGACTTTGCCTGCGTTGAGTGCGCCATGAATTAGGATGCCAAATCTGAGATTAGACATTCATCCCGAGGTTCAAAGCAGATTGGTGCCGTGAAAGGTATTGGCCTTTGACAAGGACGTGCGACACGCGTATCGAGATGGATGGGAAGGAATTGTGTGCTCGGCGGATATTGGACGGCGTATAGCCGATTCTCTGGTTCCCAATCATGTGTATCATCGATCGAAGAACGAAAGGGATGCTAGATGGGACAGACTTTGTAATTCTGGCGTAGCAATGTCCTTGCTGGCGCTTATCAGATTATCTCTCGATTTTTGGGACGGTTCAGGAGTATGAATAGGACGATGAAGTTGGTGAGGGAGAGGGAGAAGAGCAGGAGAATGAGCGGAAACTGTAAGCAGAGTGATAGAGGCAGCGGCGGTGGCTCAGTCAGCCTCTTGATTCCCTTGTAACTCATGATAGGTCCGCCTTTGACTGCGAGCCTTTGACTGCCGTTTGGAGGGAATTGACCTCTATTGAACGGTTTGCATATCGAATCCATTGTCGGTGATGGCCCTTGATGTTGTTCCTTGCACAAACTGTTAGCGAGGGCCAATAGGTAAGGTTGTTTGTAGGCACAGCTCCCCCTTATTCCGTGTCCATCATGCTAGGTGCAAGACAAGTGCTGTGAGCGGCTTGTGAAGCGGAAGTGGAGAAGCGGTGGCACTGGAAAGAAAGGTCACAAGCTCCGGTGGTGCCTCTTGGTCTTATCGTCGGTGACAGTTACGCTGCAGAGTCTCTCTTTTCCTCCTTCATACTTATTATCTTGATATCGGATAAATGCTTGTGAGATGACGTCTTCCGTTTGCTGGCGCTTTCGTTCACCTCGGCCATTGGAAGGCGGATCGTCTCCTTGGTGAAGCGGTGGTCGCGACCCTGATAACCGATTAGCCTTTGTTTTTAAAGGACTCTGTGATGTGAGTACTCAAAGAGGCTTGTGGAAGAGAGTATGTAATTGTTCCGCGTGACGGGAAGGGCCACAGAGATGATGCGTAACATTTCATACCTCACCAACACGGCGGATGATCGAGGCAAAGTGCATCACGCTTGCACATGCGACTGTTCCAGTCCAAGAAGAGTCAGGTGGAGGAAACGAAGTGAGCAGCACATCTCTCGGCGAAATGTATTGTGTCGGAAGAAAATTGAGGTCTGGGTAGGGTCAGCCTGGAGAATCAATGCTGGGATGTTGTACAACCTGTCCAAGCAGACTAGACCTGAAAGAGTGACAGGGCAGTGTTTTACGCTGACCAAATGCACTGTACGAAGTACCTGGTCGCCCAATCAACTGCCTTTCCGCCCCTCCATCAAAAAGCGGTTGGGGAGCTGCCAGATCAAACCCGCCCCCAGGTTAGGGCGCTGACAGGGCTCCAGCTGTAATCGGCCGCTAAAGGCCGCTAAAACGGTTATTTCATGGCGATCGCCCAAAAAAGGTGCGGTCCTCACTCAGCCCCAATGACCGTGCGATCTACAAGCTGGCCGACGGGAACATCCGGTGAGAATGCTTAAGCTTTTACACGCCGTACCTATTCGAATCAAGCTCTCCGGAGTACAGCACCAAATCGCCAGCTCACTTGGCGATTGATTTAGATATTAACCTTGATTCTACCTCTAATCGACTTCTTGAAGACTAATTGAAACCAATGCCTGGCTGAAGTGACGATGCCTTGGTCCCCCTTTGACCCCCCTTTGGCATCCCACTTGTAGAATCACATCGTGGCCTTAGAGCAGCATTTGCCGAGCTCACATATATATTACAAGTACGTCAACATCATTGCATCCATGAGGTCTCCAGGTCAGGGCAACAGACAGTCGCGTGATTCTGTATAATAAGCAATTTCGAGGATCACTCTTCAACAACAGTACCTTTGACTTATAAGGAGGGTTCTGAGCTTACACATCGCCCCAACATCTTATTCACTCTTTACAAGGAATATCTTCAATGAAGTGACAGGCCGATGAAGATTAAATAAGGAGGCATTTTTGGTTAGGAATAAGGTAGATTGTATTGTGCTTGATCTGGCTATTGGATATTTCGATCAGTCATGTTAAGCTTGGTGGCGGTGATTTGACTCTCCTCGTACCGACTATCAAGGGAAACAGGGCTTAGGGACAATTTGACATATATACTTAGTTAAGCTTTTGAGATCAACGAGATCTAGAGCTTACACCACGAGAAAAAGATTTCCGCCAGTTTAGGACAATTCGGAACAAATCTGGACAATTTTACGGCGATCGCTTACACAGATAGTACATCGCTTCAAAACATATCACCTATGATAAGAATTAAAAGAATTACTACATACATCACATCAAGCCTCAGAAACTGCGCACAGTCAATCAATTCATGCTACTACCACTTCTCAACTCATCACATAGTCTCGCATTCAAGTAGAGGGCTCAAGGGTGCCAAGGAAGTTCTGTATCCACTTTGTAGCCCGGCGGATGACCTTGGGGTCGGACGAGCTGGATAGCCAAACATCTCGAGCAACATTGAGACGCTTAGTGCGCTCGTCCGAGTCGGTTTCCTCGTTGCAAATCCAAGCGGCAAGGCTCTGTTCAGCGACTCCCAGAGGCTGCTGGATGACCTCTCGGATCATCGGGGACCAAAATTCGAAGCACTCGCGAGCTTGACGGGCTCGACTGGCAAAGAGATCACTCTCAGCGAGGGACTCTTGCCATAATGACTGCGCGTTCTGTAGATCTGGCATCCTCTACACAAAGGGATTGACGACTTGGATGACTCTGAGGTAAGGGGCCAAGCTGACCGAAGAACCGGACACCGCCGAACAGAACCATGCGACTACGTCACACCAAACCTCAAACAGATGTTGTTGAAGCTGAGGCAGCATCGAACTGGTCTCATTGGTGAAGCCAACCACAAGGCAGAGAGGCTTGCCACCGGAGACCTCCCAAGAGATAGCCACGCCCGGCTCAAGGATCTCATTGTTGATGGCATCGATATCGCGTCCATCCTCACCAACAACAAGTCTCTCAAAGTTCAGCCATACTGGAAGGTTGAGGGTGAAGGGGCCGGCGATGACGCCAGTATACGGGCCACCGGAGGATGTCTCCCAGAACCGCTGTCGCACAGCCATGTCGAGGACCACGGGGTTCTCAATCCTCTCTCGGGCATTGACGGCCGCGGGCTGGGACGCTACAGGGAGATCAACCTGAGAGTGTACAGGAGAAGCGGTGTCGAGAGTCGATGGCACAAGAGCGTCCTCGAGGTGGCGAGGAGTGGGCCTTGCCGAATATTGGTTGATGCGGACCATGGATTGAGAGGACTCATCACCAGACACCTGAGCCTTGGATGACCTGGCCACAGACTGAGGTGCCTCGATCTGTGGCTGGCAAGACTCACCGTTGCGAGTCTGGGTCTTGGTGGTAGCGGGTTTGGTGACCTCGGGGTTATTCTCAGCGGCGTTGCTTGTACCACTGGGGGTCTCTGTCTCCTCAGCAGGCGTGACAGGCAAGTCGTGGTCAATTCGCCACTTGTTGTAGGTGACAGACATGCCGTCACTCATGTCGTCAATCTCGGGCCCTTTGCTCCAGGGCCAAACAGGGGCATCGTCTTTGAGCCGTCGAACTATTGAATCGTTAGCATACATGCCATAGAACAACGAGGTGTACTTACAGAGATTGAACCAAGCAACCTTATCGACATTATACTCGAAGTAGGCAGTACCCACCTGCCTGACTCTGTGCTTGGCAAGCTTCGCCATGGCCAGCTCTTTCGAGATGCGAAACTCCTCTGGGGCTTGCTGGAGGTATGTTTTGCCTAGCCGCCCGAGGAACTGGGTGATGTACGCCCGGCGCTGGTTTGTGTTTCCCGCAGGGATAGCGGAGGGATCGAGGGGGGCTATCGGCAGACTCATTTTGACAAAGGAGAAGAGGCCGAGATCCTTGTTGTTTAGTTTTTATTAGAACAGAATCTTTGAGCGCGCGATGTTTTGATGATGAAAATGAAAAGTCCAAGCGCTGACTCAAGCGAAAGATAATGCAGCTGGCCGACGGCCCTGAAATTACTACCCATCACAACGGAGAGCAATTTCTGCCCTTGTCATTGGCTGATGTTTCGTTTTCGGGAAGCGTAGTAAGTCTCGATTTACATGTATTTCGAGCCATACAATCTGGATGATACGGACTCTAGCGACTATATAATACGTTCTAATTTTCTTGGCCATGGGAATAGGTTTATTTATAAGTAAGATGCATTTAGCCTTACATCCTACGCGATTGATTTCTGTGGCCGGTCATCTTGTGCCTTTCTTGAAGATGGCCTTGTCCCATGAAAATGCGCCGAGAATGTCCATGACTTCCATTGCTTTGAGGATTTAGAAAGGTGTGTCTCTTTGGTTGCCGGTCAGGGGAATGTCAGTCTTTACCGTCGCCCAGAGCGAGCACGTTGAGGTTACCGAAATTGCTTGAGATAAAAGAGGACATTATCTTTCAGCATGTGCAAAGCATTCAATACCTTAGGATGAGGACTCGCCTGACCTGATTTAGGGGTGCTTTGAGTGTTACGGGGGTCTCTCGGAGTGAGCATTGGCATATTTTGGAAGAGTATCCGCTGAAAGGCCCTGCAAGTCGCTATAAGCAGAATGCGGCTAACTAGCAGTGGTTCCACCGCCTTGGTCATGTCGTGTGATGGTTCAATCTCTCACAGAACCCCCAAACATCACCCTCTCCCACAAATTACGACGCTACTGGGACACAAGGTAAAGGACCACAGACTCGACGTCTAAATGCAATCGAATACTTACTTACTCTCTTTCAATAGTACTACACGATGCGCAAAAAGACTCCCCAACAGAAGGAGATGGCTCGGAAGGGCTTCGAGAGACGCGACGCCAAGCGTCAACAGAACCAAGGAAACTTTTCTGCTCATGGCCAACAGCAAGACCGACAATCCGGTGCCGGCCATAGAAACATGGGCCGAGACAAGAACCGAGACATGACCAGTATCGGTCCCTCTCTTACCAGTAAACATGGCATCCAAAAGCGCAGTAATGAATCTGGCATGTCTTCTTTCGACCCGATGGAGCACCAGAACTGGGTTACTGGGATCGACCGTGTCAACACCTCTTACGATGGCGGTCCACAGAACCGCATCGTTACCAGCACCCATACCAACAAGCCCACCGCAAAGGCAGACAGACCCGCCGATGGCAACGAAATCGCCGCGACTCCCCTGACAATCTTGAACACAAGTCAGGTGATTGATACCTTTGACGCAGACCTAGCTAGCATCGCCAAGGCCAGGCAAAGGCGGATCCGGGCTGAGGCGGATGCGTTTCTCGGTCAGCCTCGCAAAGGTCAGACAATCGGGGCTCAAGGCGACTTCCAGAATCGTGTCACCGAGGTGACTCAACTGGCCAAGGTTCTCTGTGCTGAGTGTGGCAGCAACACCCATACCCTTAAGGGCTGCATCACCACCATCAGTGGCAGTATTCGTGGATGCATCTTCTGCAACAGCATGAGCCACAGCACCGATAACTGTGGTGAGTTCAATGACCTCGACTTGGTGTCAAAGGTCAAATTGCTCGTCACGGACCGTGCTAGCAAGCCGCCAATCTTCACAGACACCGCCTGGTCAGTTTGGCTGCATAGATTCCTGACGGCCACCAATACTAAGGGCCAGCCAATTCCCGAGACATTCCCCTGGACAGTGAATTTCGCCCGACATATTTATGGCGGTAAGGCGGAGAAGTCTGTGCAAGAGTACCAGAGTGACTTCGATCGCGCTCAGAGCATCGGTGTTTTGCCTCGGGATTGGCGGATGCAGAGCATGAAAGACGTGTTCACCAACTTCTGGGAGAAAGAGGGCAGGGTGTGGCCGGCTCGCCTGGACAGCTTGTCATCCGTTACCAAAGCCAGCACTGGAGCAACTACCTCTGGTCAGGGGGCTGAGAGTGCTGATTCATCGACCATCGAGGAAATACGGAGGTTGGGGGAGACTGTCATTAGACAAGCTATGCAGCTTGGTGAAAAGGATAGGGAGATTGAAGGCCTCAAGAAGGAGAATCAAAGGTTGAGGAAGGAGAATGAAGACCTAAAGAAGGGCTTAGCTTGAGTCCATTCGACCATGGTATCTGTAGTCGAGCTTTGATCGATGACACGCAATTATTATAGCTCATCTCGCTGAGGCCTAGTTACGATATACAAACCACCATTCAGACAGATTCTCACAAGTAGGCTTTCTTCTCTTAATTGCAGCATTTCAGGCCATTGAAGTGAAATCCTAATTTGCAGTTATACAGTATCAAAGTTTGTCATATACTATGCGCTTTACAGAATCATTGAATTTAATATTTACTCGTATTATATTATTATTCTTTTTACTCAGTACATCGTGATTCACCATTGCAGACTTAGTTCCCTGTCCAACCTTAACTTATCGTTCCCTGACACTATTGCTAACTTAGTTACTCTTAAGCCTAGACTTATTATTAGGCAGTACCTTATTATTAGAAGCTATTTCCTTTAAAGGGTTAGAGATACAAAATACATATCTTAATATTACTATACTATAATAACTATATATAAAATCTTAGTAAGTAAATTACTTTATCTTTTAGTTATTATAAAGCTATTTATTATTAAATACTTTCTCTTTATACTTAAATACTTTAAAGACTTTCTCTAGATATTCTATTTAGTTTATATTATTTTAATAGAAATATTTTACTACCTTAGTTAGGATCTGCAAATTTATAGTAGTAACTAGTAGTATTAAAAGGCTAAGGTAAGTCTAACTGTAGTTAGAGCTTAGGTATATTTTAACTATCTATCTTAAAAAGATAAGAAACTTAAAAAACTTTAATATAAAACCTTTTATTTAAGCCTTTTAGGCCTAAATAAGTATTACCTAGATACTTATAGTACCTAGAATTTAATCTTTATTTTTATTTACTTAAAATATTTTAAAGAAAGCTTTAAAAGTAAGGTAATTATTTATATACTTAGGTAAGGCCTTTATTAGTAGCTAGAAAGTGTAGTTATTAATATAAACTTTAATAGTATACTTAATTACTATAACTAAAGTCTTAAGGTTACCTTTTTAATATAAATAAATAGTAAGTTTAGTAAATAATTAACTAAACTTTAGTATATAGACTATATAAAACGCTCCGATATTTAGTAGTAAGGTTAGATAATAGTATAACTTATACTTTATAGATAATATTTTATATAGTAAGGTCCTAAAGATATAAAGGTAAACTTTATAAATAGTCTTTAAACCCTTAAAAGCTTTAGTAGTTATAGCTAAATTAAAGTTATTATAGTCCTTCTTAGTTTATAAGTTATTTTAGATTATTATAAACTCTTAGTTAATATTTATAGGTTACTATTTAGTACTAAGGAAATATATATATAAAACTAAGAGGTTAATTTATTACTATAAGTATAGGCTATAAATATCTAAAGCTAATTAAGTAGCTATAGTCAATATAGCTATTATATTAAAGTTATTATTAAAAGCTATAAGAATTAGCTTTTAAAGGTTTTTTATAAAGGACTATAAATAACTATAATACTTATAAAGTTAATTATAACTTATTTTAGTACTAGGACTATAAATACTAGAAAATATATATTATTACTTTATAAAGGCAAGATAGAAATTTACTATTTTATAGAAATATAGTTAATATTAGCTAGATAGCTAGGGTTATATAAGTATAAATTAATCTTATATAAGCTATAAAT